CAATGACATGACAGTGAGTGATTACAGTGATGATGTGATGATGATAATGATAATTACAATGACAGTGGTGATTACAGTGATGATGATGATAATGATGATTACAATGACAGTAGTGATTACAGTGATGATGATGATAATGATTACAATGACAGTATGATTACAGTGATGATGAGATATGTAATTACAAAGTGATGATGATGATGATGATGATAATTACAATGACAGTAGTGATTACAGTGATGATGATAATTACAATGACAATTACATGATAATGATAATTAGTGATTACAGTGATGAGTGATGATGATAATGATGATAATTACAATGACAGTAGTGATTACAGTGATGATGATAATTACAATGACAGTAGTGATTACAGTGATGATGATGATAATGATAATTACAATGACAGTAGTGATTACAGTGATGATAATGATGATAATTACAATGACAGTAGTGATTACAGTGATGATGATAATGACAATTACAATGACAGTAGTGATTACAGTGATGATGATTACTATGACAGTGATGATTGTGATGATGATGATGATGATGATGATGATGATGATGATGGAAATTAGGAACCCTGGCAGTACAACAGTAGTGATAATGGTGATGATAACATCAATGACAGTGATTACTATAACAGTGATGATTACTATAACAGTGATGATTACGATGACAGTGATGATTACGAATGGACACCAAAATGTTTTGAATATTGCTACATAGTTACTTACTGATGTACCCTGGTTTGTCAAGACACCAGAATGTCCAAAATAGTACACAGATCTTCATCGCAGAGACCCTTCATTAGACAGATCCTGAACCACAGCGTTCCCCATCAGACTGAGCTGGTCCCAACTATGGTGAAGAAGTAACACTCTAACATTGTCTCTGTAGCTGATATGTATTTCTTACTACATGTAATCAATAGCTGTGATGTACACTTGCTATCATGGACTTGTAATTACCGTAATTCCAGTAGTGTGTTCTCATCATAAAATCGACCGCCTCCGTGGTTTAGTGGTTAGAGCGTCCGACTGGTCGGCTCGGAGTCAGTATAATGTGTCTGAGTGGGGTAATCATGCTTCACTGCGGCATGGTATCTCAGTGGGCTAGCACTATAAAACCAGTTTAAGTCTTGGCTAGTACAAGCAGCAGCACATACACATACACACGCATGCACGTCGTCATATGAGCGAAATATTCTCCAGCAACATTAAACCCAATTTCAACTCACCTCACCTCATCATAAAATCATTGATGACTTAAATTTGTCTTTTCAAAACGTTTTGACAACTGATTAAATGCGATCTTTGTCTTGCCTTTTCTTTTATATGATTAAATTTATGTATTATTGGATCCAAAAGTCAGAGTAGGTTGTGTTAAGTATTTGATTCCATTTTTTCTAAAACAAGGCCAAATTATTTACCTCTTTTTATGAAAAAAATAAAGGAACGTGATTTGATTGGTTGTTGATTGAGAAATTAGCCAATAGCTGTGAGGCTTTCATAGTGATCTTTGCAAAGAACTAGTACTTGTTGATGCCCTGTCTGGCACTTAGAGTGGAAAAACAAGGACAGGGCACACATGCACCAAGTTATCTGTGACTGCAACTCTCATAATCCAAAACAGTGTAGATAGTCTTGTGCTAAGATTACTTTGTCCAAGTAGGTCCTGTTCTTGTTACCAACAAGTACCATCTTTTAACATGGTTTGGTACAATACATCCAGGCCGCAAACTCTTTTTGCAGATGCTCCAGACCATACCCGTGAAGATCCGGGTTAGAATTGGTCTTCAGTAACCATGCTTCTTGTAAGAGGTGACTAACGGGATTGGATGGTCGGGATCTCTGACTTGGTTGACATATGTCATCATATCCCAATTTTGTACATCAGTTTTCATGCTGTTGATCACTGGATTGTCTGGTATGTACTCGATTATGTACAGATAGCCGCTATACAGCTGGAATATTGCTGAGTGTGGCATTAAAGTCTAGACCATGGAACCTGTTGGTGTTCCAGTAACCGTATCTGTTAATAATAGTGACTTTTGTTCTTTAAACAAATATGTTGATGGTTTATGTTGTTCATGTACATCAAGAAGAAATCTTTTTATAAAATTGGGCAGGCCTGAGGATATCATCCGACAGCCTTTTTTTTGTTTCATTTTTTATATAACGTTGATCTGTTTTGTAAATAAACTTACAAAAACAATTTAAAGGCCTTAGATATGTAAGTTGTATTTTATTTCATATACATCTAAAAATGTTAATGAATGTTAAATAAAAATTTAAAAATAGTTCTTAATTGTTTGATATATTTAAAAGATGTTTTATCGATGCATATAGGTGTCAGTTTAAAACCTTTCCAGATTCCAAAATAGTGCAATTTGTTTTAGTTTGTTAAGTATTTACAACAATAATTACGGTAAATGATTGCAGTGTGTTAGTTGAGCTTCCTTGTACAGTACATTCTTGAAGCAGAAACAGTAAAATCCATGAGAAAAGGTTCCTCTTGCTCCATTGATTTTCATGGTTGAATGTTAATTATATGTATTGATCATTGCCTTTTCCTCAACATTTTTTGTTGTCATTATTTACTGTTCCATTGCGATTACTATGATGCGATGTATTGGCAGTACTGGTGTATCACTATTTGAAATGCTAATTGAATATGTATCACAAAGTGTTTGCAAAATGTTGTTTTTCATAATCATATGTATTTTGTCTTGTGTGCAAAGTTTACTAAAATTGGCAAGTCGAATTTAATTATATTTCTCTGCTATATTGTTGCAATATGAAAGTCAGGCCAACACTGACCCGTGAAATTCAGGGTTGAAATTGGTTTTCAGCAACCCATGCTTGGCTTAACTGGTGACAAATGGGATCGGGTGGTCAGACTAACTATCTTCATGGACACATATCATGTATCCCAATACACTAATGCTATGTAACTGAATATAAATATATATAATTTTGATCCTAACAAATAATTAAATTTGAATTGAACAGAAGATGGTGAGATTCAGAGGAAATCTAGACTTTCTTCATAAAGAGCTTTAGCATTGCAGGGAGGGCAAGGTAGAAGGGGAAATAATTTGGTTCAAGGACTATGAGACTAGGTATCCCAATTGCATAGTTCGATGCTCATGACGTTGATCACTGGATTGTCTGGTCCAACACCATATAGCTGGAAAATTGCTGATTGTGGCATTAAAGAACAAACAAACAAACCCAGGTGTCACAAACACACACAGAGGCAAGGCAATTGTTCATCAGTTACAACATCTGCAGTGCACTTTCTTGAATGTTAAACAATGTTTCCCAAACTGTATTATACAATTTTTGATGTACCCAAATACATAGGTTAGCTACAGTAATTCTTCGGTCTATAGTATATTCGTTTGAAATAAGTTATTTAAAAATGCCATTTAGTTATATATGAAGTAATTGTTTTAATATTGATTGTTTTGCTACATCTCAAAAACCTGAAAACCATGCATTGCTTCACAATTGACCAATTGAACAATAACTTCAGTTGTTTTGTTATTGTGTGGGCAGATAAGAGGATATAGAGAAACGATTCAATTGACAGAATGGCGCTGTAGTGGCACTAGCAGATCGATACTTTCACATCAATTGGCTCATATTGTTGCTGTATTGATAGTGGTTGAAAAGCGATGAGTGATATTGATCTGAAAAACTTAACATTCATGGTTCCGTTCCTGGATTGCCCTAAAATATTTTCTTTTTTGTTTTTGGTCATTACCATGACGACTTTCAAGGGTTTCATCAAAATAGTAAACTTGAAAGACCTGTACCATTTCTGGCTTTCCTCCTACGTAAAGCGACCCATGAAGATCCGGGGTAGAATAGGTCTTCAGCAACCCATTCTTGTCATAATAGGCGACTATGCTTGTCGTAAAAGGCGACTAACGGGATCGGGTGGTCAGGCTCGCTGACCACCTTGACACATGTCACTGGTTCCCAATTGCGCAGATCGATGCTCATGCTGTTGATCACTGGATTGTCTGTTCCAGACTCGATTATTTACAGACCGCCGCCATATAGCTGGAATATTGCCGAGTGCGGCGTAAAACTACCCTCACTCACTCCTACGTAAAGCTGAGATTGCAAATTATAACTGAAATATGTTGTGATAAACCCAACTCACTCATGATGTTTTTTGTTTTAGGTAGGGGCAGTGGGGTAGGTCAGTGTATCAAGAGTTTGTTCGTCACGTCAATGATCCGAACCCATGAAGATTAGAATTGGTTAGAATTGGTCTTTACAACCTGTGCTTGTCATGAGAGGCGACTAGTGGGATCAGGTAATTAGGTTTGCTGAATTGGTTGACATATGTCATCGTATCCCAGTTGTGTAGATCGATGCTCATGCTGTTGATCTCTGGATTGTCTTGTCCACACTTGATTATATAGCTATAACTGCCATATACAGTCCGTTTGGCTCAAAAGCGGTCCGACGAATTGCAATCTAACTCGAAAACTAATAAACATAACATACTCAATGAAACGCTGATCATAATCAACACATCATACCCACTCTGTGAGGTTTTTGCAGAATTTTTGTCCTTTCTCTGCACTCCTCCCTCATAACAAACAGTGAACTGTGTCAATATTTTAATGATAGATTGTTAAACAACTTTTCTATTTTTAGGACAAAAATTCTGCAAAAACCTCACAGGGTTGGTATGATGTATTGATTATGATCAGCGTTTCATTGAGTATTTTATGTTTATTAGTTTTCGAGTTAGATTGCAATTCATCGGTCCGCTTTTGAGCCAAACGGACTATAACTGGAATATTACTGGGTGTGGCGTTAAATAACAACCAAACCAAACCAAATCGTCAATGGTCCGGGTTCGATTTTCCTTATGGGTACAATGTTTTATGCCCATTCTGGTGTCCCCTTGAATATTGCTAAAAGTGAAATATAACCATACTCACTCACTCACTCACTCATTTGTTTTAGGTGCAGCTGCTTTCAGAGGCATGATGGATGAAAGGAACAGACATCAGGGGCACGTCTTCACTTTTATGACCAAAGACTTGGCTCTAAATACTCTAGGCTTGTGTCTTTGTGAGTTCTTCTGGAGCAGGAAAGAGCTGAAGTAGTTCATGGTTCTTCTCAATGAGGATTCAAACAGTAGAGAGAAGGAACAGACATCAGTGTCTTCACTTAGATGACCCAACTATTTGGTGGGCTACCAGGTTCCAAGAGCTCTGGGTTTGGCTCTTCATGAGCTCTTGGAGGACAGATCTGAAGTTGCTCATGGCTCAGTGAGAATTCCAGGATAGAATGTATCTGTAGAACCACAAGGCAGTCCATAGAAACAGGTCCCAGTAGACTTTTCTCTCAATTAGCATTCCTGGGCACAAGAGACGAACAGATTTCAAGTATCCCATGCTTGTCTCTCCTTTGTTTGGAGTAGAATACATCTCAAGTATGCTAACTCCAGTGGCTGATTGTAGGATAGAATATATCAAAGAGTATTCCATGCACATTCCAGTATCTCACTTTACATATTCCATGGAAGATAGTTTCCTGGAAGCTTCTCTTCCCATGTGTATTCTGTGGCAGAACAGATCCCCAGTAACCAAACCTTGAGTGTGAGTATCCCAGGTGAGAGGTGTTCCTCTTGTTTGTCTTCCTTGAGGGTGAGGTGAGGTGAAATTGGGTTTTACGTCGTGCTTGAGAATATTTCGCTCATATGACGACATGCATGCGTGTGTATGTGTGGCTGCTTGTACTAGCCCAGACTTAAGCTGGTTTTATAGTGCTAGCCCACTGAGATACCATGCCGCAGTGAAGCATGAATACCCCACTCAGACACATTATACTGACTCCGAGCCGACCAGTCCTTGTTGTACCCAGTGATGCCGAGAGCCAGGCAGGGACCAACAAGTACCATATTTTAACGTCTTTTGGTATGACGCGGTCGGGGATCGAACCTGCGATCTTCCGCTCTCCGGGCGGACGTTCTAACCACTACACCACGGAGACGGTCCTCTTCCTTGAGGGTAATCATGGCAGAGGACCTTGTCTATGTGGGTATAGCAGACAGGATAGGTCCCCAGTACACCATGCTTGTCTGAGTGCAAGTATTCCAGTGTACATACGTCCCCAGTACACCATGCTTGTCTGAGTGCGAGTATTCCAGTGTACACAGGTCCCTAGTACATCATGCTTGTCTGAGTGCGAGTATTCCAGTGTATATAGGTCCATAGGACACCATGCTTGTCTGAGTGGGAGTATTCCAGTGTACATAGGTCCATAGGACACCATGCTTGTCTGAGTGCGAGTATTCCAGTGTACATAGGTCCCCAGTACACCATGCTTGTCTGAGTGCGAGTATTCCAGTGTACATAGGTCCCCAGTACACCATGCTTGTCTGAGTGCAAGTATTGAGTGCAGGTCCCCAGTACACCCGTGCAAGTATTCCAGTGTACATAGGTCCCCAGTACACCATGCTTGTCTGAGTGGGAGTATTCCAGTGTACATAGGTCCCCAGTACACCATGCTTGTCTGAGTGGGAGTATTCCAGTGTACATAGGTCCCCAGTACACCATGCTTGTCTGAGTGCGAGTATTCCAGTATATATAGGTCCCCAGTACACCATGCTTGTCTGAGTGCGAGTATTCCAGTGTACATAGGTCCCAGTACACCATGCTTGTCGAGTCGCGAGTATTCCAGTGTACATAGGTCCCCAGTACACCATGCTTGTCTGAGTGCGAGTATTCCAGTGTACATAGGTCCCAAGTACATGATGCTTGTCTGAGTGCGAGTATTCCAGTGTACATAGGTCCCCAGTACACCATGCTTGTCTGAGTGCGAGTATTCCAGTGTATATAGGTCCCCAGTACACCATGCTTGTCTGAGTGCGAGTATTCCAGTGTACATAGGTCCCCAGTACACCATGCTTGTCTGAGTGCGAGTATTCCAGTGTACATAGGTCCCCAGTACACCATGCTTGTCTGAGTGCGAGTATTCCAGTGTACATAGGTCCCCAGTACACCATGCTTGTCTGAGTGCGAGTATTCCAGTGTACATACATCCCCAGTACACCATGCTTGTCCGAGTGCGAGTATTCCAGTGTACATAGGTCCCCAGTACATCATGCGGGTGGTCAGGCTCGCTGGCTTGGTTGACACATGTCATCGGTTCCCAATTGTGCAGATCAATGCTCATGCTGTTGATCACTAGATTGTCTGATCCAGACTCAATTATTTACAGACCGCCGCCATATGGCTGGAATATTGCTGAGTGCGGCGTAAAACTAAACTCACTCAGTTGTTGAAACAGGCAAAGAATTGCTTTGTTCTCAACGAGCTTGTTTATTTCACAGTCCCTGACCCATATTAATTTCCCTTCTTTCTGGTAATGTTATAGCTATAGAAGAGGCCAACTCTTTCCACATGTTCAGGTAGGCGTCTTTTGACTTTTGTCCTACCCTAACGTAGACATTCTAAATTTTGTTGACCTCAGTAAATCCTTCTCCCTAAGACCTTGATGGTCCTTTGGAGATATGCTGATGTTCTGTCAACATGAGTTGTGTCTTATGCCACATTTACCAGTACTCCAGCAGTATCACAGCTTGGGATATTGCAGCATTATCGCGGTGGAGGACACCAGAAATGGGCTTCATGCCGTGTACCCATGTGGGGATTCAAACCCGGGTCTTCAGTGTGATGAGCGAATGCTTTAACCACAAGGCTACCCCACAGCCCCCTAAATGTGTTTTCAAAAACAGTGAAATATGCATTACCGGATATCCTCATTTACATGGCACTACTGAATAATTATTATAGTCTTGTCTGCCAAACCATCATTAGTGATATTAGGACAGTACATGTTCTGATCTTGTAAATAAACAACAACAGTTTACAATACTTTGGTATCTTTATATTGATATATTTATCAAAATCACCAATATCCTCTAGTTTATATCACATATTTACAGATTGTATACAAATATACATAACATCCCTCGGTCGACCAAGATATCTACAATTGTGTGTTGTTTAACCTACAGACCATTCAAACAAGAGGTGAGTGACTTGTATTGAATACCACCTTGAGTACAGGTCATTACCTGGGTTAATTGGAGATCTGAACTCACCAGATCCTGGGATGATTTAAGGGACACAACTCTGCACAGCCAAACCTTTCTTACCACTGGGCCATGCACGCAAAGGTCTCTGAACCTGCAGCATGGGTTGCAGAAGACCAATCTAACCCGGATTGGGTCCTTCAGTGTCTCTAAACATTCAGTATGACCTTCAACTGACACCAAGTTTGAGTTTAATGTTCATGGCAGCCAACTCGGCTACGAGGTAGCGGAAGACGTAGGGGACGGCAACGACCTGTATGGTGTCTGACCTCCGACACACCTTGCAGGACCACACCCGGCGGGACTCAACTGATGCTGCTGCAGTAGCCACAGGTGGCTTGTCAAGACACGGAGACAGCAGACTCCCACACGACGTACAGATACGGGCCTGGAATATACACACACAATCAGCAAGAGAGAAATCTACAGTGTCACACATGTCTTACAAAACTTGAGCCACAATTAGTTGTCCCTTTCAAGAACATTATAATTTTTATACACCCTAATGTGCAGAGATGTATGATCTATCTAGTGTGCTTTCAACCAGATCTATCATATCTTAATCGATTCGCTTGTAATCAAATTATTGACATATCTTTTTCCATATGATCTCATCTATATTACTATAACATCACAGTAGTACAACAAACCTGAGACAATGAATACATACTTTCAAGAACATAATATTTTTTACTTAGCCAAAATAAGAGCTAAGTGTGCACAGATCTATATTTTCATCGATGCACTTGTGATCAAATTATTGATTATTTTCCACAAGATATCATCCATATTATGAAACCAACACAGTTATACAACAATCCTGAAGTAATGAATACCATCAACCAGGGCTCCAGATAATTTTTCATGATCAGGAGTACATACTCCTTATTTTGTTCGATATACATTTAGAGTACTGAATGGAATTTAATGGAGTATCAGTAATCTTGTGTTTTGTTTCATATATGCACCACAAACATTTTGCTACTTATGGAGACTAAATTTCAATTGGAAACGAGCGGCGCGTGAGGGGTTTCAAGTGAAATATTTAATAAGCCATCAATTCAGTAAAGCATGTCTCTGATTTTCAAACACACTAGGAATTATCTCCATCTCTATGACCCATTTAAAATCGAACTTCCTCGCCTAAGGAAGACACCTCGTAATCCGGCATGGGCTTAGAGGGCATTGAACTTCGTCTGTGAAAGGGATGTAGATGCCGTTCTTTACAACCTAACAATATTCTGTCCAAAGAAATCAAACTACTGTTTATTCAATGCAATTAGGTAATACCGAGATCTTGGTTTTTTTCCATCCCAACTCCTGCGACTAAAACCAGCCTATTGTTTTGTGTGCCCGTGAAACTGTACCCCCTGGCCACACTATAATGGAATGCGTCTGACCTACTTATTTTCTTGGAAGTAGACAGTTACGTAACAGTTTAAAATGGCGGGACGAGCCAGTGTTGTTTACATTTTGCGAAAGGTTGAAATTTGAGTGACAGTGGACAATACTTGACTGACAGTTGAATCTGAACCCTGCAGAATCGAAGAATAGATCCTTTCCTGATCAGCCCTCGACCTGTAACTCATCAAAGACTGTTGATTTTTATGACCGGCCCGATCATGATTTCCGCATTACTGCCTCCACCCGGCATGCGACAAAGGAGTGACAGTACTGCTGCTTATTGTACATGCGACTAACTTGTGATTCCTTGGAACTTTGTTTTCATCGTTTGGGACTGGACAGGACTGTGTCAAAGCGTTTTCAAAGTAGATGAACATAACAGTGACAACCGAGGAAACTGGCAGAGAGCTGAATTATTTTGTGAACGATGTAGCGGGATATGATGGAGTATGACTATGAGTGGCATAAATGTGGTGTTTCGCCAGACCGTTAGATCTATCTTGCAAATTTCCCATTCTAAACGGAATTAAATATACCATTTACCAGGTAGGTAAATGTTTACTAATGTTTTGCTGCATATTTTGTATAAATAGGGATATATTTTACAAGGCTTTCTGATTTATTTGTTAGATATTGTTTTGTTTATGTTTTGGGCTGTGTATTGTAATTGAGTTTGAATATTTTTATAATAGAAGGTAATATGATAGTGAGGTTCCCATATAATTGTTGGAAATCACATAACCGTATTTTTCGAAGTTTAAATAAATGTTTTATCACACATTTCCATCCGCCTGTTGTGTTGATATTAGTCATGTTGGTGGTCAAGCTGAAGTAGTGCGGCAGTGTTCTATCACGATGCGCAGTGAAGCAATGAAATCAAACGCATTTTTAATCCAAAAATTTCCAATTGCCTGTGTGGAAAATTCGAAAGTCAGCGTCAAAATCTATGGAGTTGTGGTCAAACGGAAGTAGTTCTCACAATAAGATTTGTTAATGCGCGGTGAAGCGGCCTTACAATCAGATGAGCGTCAATCCACAATTGATGCCGTCTGATTTTTCTGTAACAATCTTATGTAATCAATAAAACAATACTTTTTCAGATAAATACGCCTGTAAATGATTCTAAGAGCATACACCATTGCTGTGGTGCGTATCTGCTACGTTTTCTAAATTATTTCCTACAGTATCTTGCATATTTTTTTGTCCATACATATGCCAATATGACCATTATCTGGAGCCCTGCATCAACTTTCCCGGATGACATGCTCTCAGAAATATTGCAGCTGCATGCATGAGGGTGGTGTCTGCAAATAACTGTCTGGACCTGACAATCCAGTGACTAACTTTTCAGACACGACACATTTGATACCAGAAGTCACTTTTTATGGCAAGCATGGTTTGCTGAAGACCAAGTTTTACCGTATCTACACGGCCAAAGAAGAAGTGAATGAGGGGAATGGGTATGGTTTTACGCCACTTTTACCAATATTTCATCAAGAAACAATGCTTCACACATTGTACCCATGTGGCAAATCAAACCCATGTCTTCGGCGGCAAACAAGCGAAACTCTTTAACCACTAGGCTAGAGCACTAGGCTAACCTGTATATAAGCCTCGTCTATTGGAAAATATGAAGGTTTTGTGGCAGAAAGTAACAGATTTAAGAATGCCTTGCTGCATTATAATCAAATACAGTCAGACCCAGGTACATTAAACCTTGCAGGATCGAGTGCAGATGAGCAATAATATACCGTATTTCCTCTAATAAGCGCCCGGGTGCTTATATTTTTCAACTGTCTTCCAGACCAGAGCCTTATTCTAGAGATTCTTAACTTTGATCGTAGCCAATGTATTAAGAATGGGCTTAAGAAGTTCGCAAGGCTATGAACGTTTCGAGAATAGCTAGCCTGGCGCTTACTGGGGCCCGGTGCTTATTGCGCTTACTGCTTGTAAATAATTATTAGTGAGCATTACGTCAAAGCATAGAACCGTTCCTTAATAAATTTATTTTTGGATCAAGGCAGAATAAACCGAACCCAGCGCGCTTATTAAAGGTTGGGCGTATCTTAAACCGTTGCTTTACCTTCGGCGCATTTTAGAGGAAATATGGTATATTGTGAGGTCGCTGGGACTGGAGATAACGGATCTGACTGTAGTTCTGTTTGAGTACATCTGCTCTGGAAGACCAATACCAGGGATTTACATGGAGTCCTGTATTTGAGGGTCCTTGGGACTCATACTTTTAATTTTCAGGGGTCCTGGACAACAAAATGGGGGTCCCAGACACTTAAATTGCAAATAATACTATAACCCAGCCAGTAGCAAACTCAGTAATAACTTATTGTCATTTGATTGGAATTTTTACCCAAAGTATTTGGACTTTTTTCTGTGTCCCTGTGGACGCGCTAATAAATTTTGTTGCGTCCATTGTCAATTTTTATATGTATAGGACGCAGGAATTCGCGTCCTGTAAATCCCTGCAATACTGACCAGTGTTCCATCGGAGCAGTTGAAGAGTCTGTCATGGATGAGGAAAGCTGTGCCGTGAGCTATGAGGGCGTCTCTCTCCATCTCTCCAAACCTGATTCCGCCGGCCCTCTTCCTCCCCCTGAACAGGTTGGTGAGTGAGGGAATCGACAGGACCTGTACTCCTCACCTGTAACAACATACATCTTCTTCATGACATGCTGCGACATCAGGGTCAATATCCATACACTATGCAATATGCTTCAATAGCAAGGTCGATAACATCAGCCAGTGTATGAAATAAGGCCCGTCCGACCGCTCGAGACTGGTTAGATTTCAGGCGGACTGTCTAGATTTACAGCTAGCCAGCCTGATGGTCTGGTAAAAAATTTACATGTTATATACATCTGAGTCATATCTTGGTGTCTGGTCTTGTTAAATCCATTTTGGACTGGTAACATTTTGCACAGCCCTGATATCTGGCTGCGGTTTTGGCTTATTTCAAACAGGGACTGACGAAAGCAAAACATCTGACAAGCAGTTACAGAGAAAAGTGCTGTGATTTACAGTATGTTAACTCCACAACCACAAGTGAACACAAGTTCACTCATCTGTAATTGACTGTAGCTTTTTTGATTGTTTTCCCATTTTGTTGTATTGGTCAACAACAATGCTGTAATTTGACAATAGTTATAAGCACAGCCCAGTGATACGAAACTAAAAATATGATACGAAACTAAAAATACGAAACTAAAAATTATCACTCCTGCTTTTTTGTGTTACTTCTGTCACTTGAGGTTCATACGTTTCATTATAAGGTTTATAGCTATACAGGTTCATATACTTTGTGTTGATCTGAAGCGCGAGATTATGGCTGGAAATCACTAAAATTCCCAAATATTTGAATGTTTTGCATAGTACGAACATTATGAAACTACTGGTCAGGTAAACAACTCATCTTAAAAAATTTAGGTGAACCTGTGAGGTTTTCATTTCTTTGGGTTTATATACATTTACTGCAACTGATCCTGTGACAGTTGTAGGGAGGTGGGAGGCCCTACCCCAGGGAAGAGCATCTTCAAAGATTTGAAAACCCCTACTGGTTTGGCTAATTCTTTGGTCTTCCAGTTTTAAGGAATGAATAACTGTTTGTCATAACATAAAAAAGAATTTGAAGTCTCAGACATCTTTGCTAGAAAACCAGAGTAGGAGGAAAAGAAAATCAAAAGTGGATATGAATTTGAACGTCTTGGTTAGACGGCCAGTGTAGCCAATACCACTCTGTCCTACCTGGAACTTATCGGACACCATGTGACGAAGTCTCTGGTAGTACACGAGGCCGCAGAAGATGTTGACCTCCATCTCTCGGCCATTCACACCGCTGTACATAGTCTCTGTGCCATAGTAGTTGTAGCCAGCTGCAAACAAAGTCACAGTTTATTTATTTTATTGAACCATTTAATGAAACCAAACTATTTTATGGAACATAATTGCTTCAAAAGAATCAGATGAGTACCCATATGATAAATGTATTTAAAATATTAAGAACATTAAAAATTCCTACAGCTTCACTTATTAAAAATATTTACAATGAAAATCAAATATTTAATTTATCATGACTGACACCAAAAACCCCACTTTTTCAATATGTTTTTCTTCTGCACAAACGCAAGTTACGAAAACAAGTTTTAATTATGTTGCATATTTGCAATGTGAAATATGTCTTTTCCTTTCTTGTAATGTCGTAAACATTGATCTGCCGATTCCACACTCCTCAGCGAAATCCCCCACACGAAGAAATCAAAGCTTTGTTTCCGATCATTCAGATAATGTTACCTTGAACTTTATTTTTGCATAGTTTCGTAACGTTTGGCTGTGTGATTGATCACGAGGATGAGGTCAATACAGATCAGCGGCCGCGTCATACCAAAAGACGTAAAAATATGGTACTTGTTGGTCCCTGTCTGGCTCTCAGCATTAATGGGTATAACAAGGACTGGTTGGCTCGGAGTCAGCATAATGTGTCTGAGTGGGATATTCATGCTTTACTGCGGCATGGTATCTCCGTGAGCTAGCACTATAAAACCAGCTTAAATCTGGGCTAGTACAAACAGCCACATATGCAAATGCATGCATGTCGTCATATGAGCGAAATATTCTTAAGTACGTTAAACCCAATTTTACCTCACCCCACCTCAGTAGGAAAGACAAAGTTACTTTTGGGTCAAAAAGATATGAAAATAAAAAAAATAACCATGTCCAAATTTCAATTTGTATAAGATTGGGGAAATAACTGTATTTGTTGAAAAAGTATGATAACAATTATATTCTTTGGAATATTCATCATGAAAAAGTTCAGGGAGGAGCAAATACCTGCTGTCAACATCTTGCCGAAGTGGTCGATAGCGGGCTGTTGTTCGGAGAATGTGAAGGGCGTGGCATCGTGGCAAAGGCCATGGAGGGCGGATGACTTCCCCGCCATGATCTCGATCATCATACCTGCACAACAAAACAGTGAACTTGTTGACGCTTTGTCATAGAAACATTGTTTTTAGTAAGTGACTGACCTTATGTTCGCTTTTAGCAACATATCAACAATGTCACATTGGGGAACACCAAAAAAAGGTTGGCAAGGGCCTTATACTGACTGACTGAGTTTGGTTTTACGCTGCTTTTAGCAATATTCCAGCAACATCACGGCGGAGGACACCACAAATGGGCTTCACACATTGTACCCATGTGGGGATTTGAACCCGGGTCTTCGGTGTGACGAGACAACGCTTTAACCACTAGGCTACCCCACCGCCCGGCAAGGGCCTTATAAAAACTATACTCAAATTGGTTCGCAATATTCCAGTAATATCAAATCGGGGAGATAGTAGAACTGGGCTTCACCAAGTGGGGAATTGAACATTTGTCTTCAGGACATGAGATATGGGCTTGACACTCTGTGGGGATCTGAACCCAGACTCCTGCCCTGGCAAGCAAACACTGAAACCACTAGGCTACCCCATCTCCCCTAACATTAGGGATATGACTTTCCTGTTTAACTGCAAACACAACACAAGTACATATCAAGTGAGTGAGTGGGTGTAGTTTTACGTAGTTTTTAGCAATATTCCAGCAATATCATAGCAGGTGACACCAGAAATGGACTTCACACATTGTAACCATGTGGGGAATTGAGCCCAGGCCTTCGGCGTGACGAGTGAACGCTTTACCCACTAGGCTACTGCACCGCTGCAGTACATATTATCAAGATTGGGCCAGACAAACTAGCGACTATTATTATGAACAACTCCATGCCAGTATGATGACATACAATCACCATGGTAACAGTGCCTGACCACACCCATTAACAACTTACATCTGTAACACTGTGTACTGTGTCAGCCACCAAGGTAGTCAGTGAGTGAGTGAGTGAGTGAGTGAAATTAAGTCCTTTCAGCAGTATTTCAGCCATAAATGAGCGAGTGAGTGAGTTTAGTTTTACGCCGCACTCAGCAATATTCCAGCTAAATGACGGCGGTCTGTAAATAATTGAGTCTGGACCAGACAATCCAGTGATCAACAGCATGAGCATCGATCTGCGCAATCAGGAACCAATGACATGTGTCAACCAAGTCAACGAGCCTGACAACCCGGTCCCGTTAGTCGCCTCTTACGACAAGCATAGTCGCCTTTTGTGGCAAGCATGGGTTGCTGAAGACCTATTCTACCCCGGATCTTCACAGGTCCAGCAATAAATGATGCATCAATAATCAATACATTTAGACTGGACAAAACCTGTCATCGATGGACAGTACAACAACTAGATTAACATGGATTTGATTTAAAACATTCACCAAGCTGAAAGGAGTCACATATGTCAGTTAGTTCCTGACATCACTACCAACCTATCGTCATTCTTGACGGGAAGCCATGAGGGTTGAAAATAATGTCTGGCGTCATGCCACTCTCCGTAAACGGCATGTCCTCGGCTGGCCAGAACATGCTGCAAATAGAAATACTTCATTCTTTAAGGACTTCCGTCTCTTGCCAGCTGTAGCGAAGGAAATACGAGAACTTGTTTCTCCCAAAACACTGAAAGGTATCCAGTGAGCTAGAGGACAATATGAGTGAGTTTAGTTTTACCAAAAATAGGATTCCTACATTGTACCCATGTCAGGAATTGAACCTGTGTCTTCGGCGTAATGAGCGAACGTGTTAACCACCGGGCTACTCCACCAACCTCGGCGCACTACATGACCTACGGGTATGTTGAAATGGCATGTATCACAAAGTGACCTATATGTATTGAAATCTGCAGATCTGTCATCTCTGACCACTAGGTCTTCCTATTAATTGTTCTCTAAGATTAATTCCAAATACTATAAACATTTCCTGACTAACCTGCAAATTCCCTTCTGGCCATGCCGTGTTGCGAACTTATCTCCAATGATTGGGTTTCTCTGCAAAACATAATATCATATCATGAGTATAGACAGCAGACAAGACTATTCCCATAATGCAATATTCTTGCATGACACACAGACACTACAAACAGACTTTAACAATACAATATTTTATTCATATTATTCAATGCATAAAAGACTTACTCCGCCATATAGCTGGAATTAAACAACAACCAACCAGCCAACCAACCGTTTGGAACAAAACAAGTGTGTTTACTGTTCTACCAAGGACCAAAGGGGAGACAAACATGGAGACAATCCTGAAAGGGGAGACAACTCCATACCTGTATCCTAAGCATCAAGATGGCTCTCTGCAACAGCCCGGTTCCACCGTCATCTGATGGGTTCTGCAGAATCTTCACGCTGTCTACATAGGCTGCCTCCTGGCTCTTGTATTTCTCTACTGTCATGGCACCAGTCTGGATGTTCACGTAACTGGAAAACAGCAACAAATTACATACCACTTGCTGGCACTGAGGGACCGTTCATAATTTATGGTGAGAGGGTGGTGGTGATAAGAAGCATGTACAATGTGAATGCCCCCACCCCCACCCCACCTCCTCTAAAATTTATGTACAAAGTAACTGACACCCCCTGCATGTCATATACAAAATCAATGACATCACCACCACTACCCCTAAACATTGATGACCCCCCTACTAGGGCTCTCACGAGTCCAAAATTTGGGACTCGAGTACTCGAGGGGTCAGACCCGACTCGGACCCGAGTACCCGACAATTTGGATGCTTATCTGAAACCAACATTCAGGCATACACGTGGCTGTTCCAACTTCCAATCTACGAATAATGCAACATGTATATGTGAATCTAAACGTTCTTGAATAAGGCAATTGATATTCAATGTCAATGGAAGTATCGATTACCTTTCTATTATTGCACGTGAAGGCAGCGTAAGTGTCACTGTGACCAAGTTGTATGCGATCAATAATGTGATCAATAGAAACCAATCAATGTACTTCTTTTTTCTCTTGGTTATAGGTTTGACTGCGCTTTCAAGATTATTTAATATTAATGTGTCATGCAGTTACGACATATTAGCGACTTTTAAACATTCACCTAGACGATAAGTCACATAATCAATTAACCTTAATCATGGTTAAATTGCGGCAAAACAGGTGCCCAAACTGATATTTAGACAAAGCATTCATTGATTGGTGCTGCATTGGATATCTTGCAAAAATGGATCGACTATGAGACTTAAAGAAATATAATATATAAAACAGGATTGATGTTTATTTGAGACTTCTTATAGTGGAAACATTTTGGTTTCAAACTAAAGACTAACCATTTATTAAGTAACACTACATTGTATTTCTTCTTCCGAAACTCTCCTGAACGGAGATCACGTCAATGGTATTTATTGTGATTAAAACTTTAACTATTTCAGGATTTGGTCTCCAAGTGTGAATGTTATTTCGAATGGGTATGTATGTGTTGATTATTGAATATGTAACAATGAAATACGCTGAATAAGAACGACTGAATATCTATGTAGAAATGAAGTTGAACAACAAGAGTGAAGACTACTTGTATCAAATTGTTTGTTTAATGAACTTAATGCAAGAAGGCAAGAACACAAGGCCAAGTTTTAAAGAACATAGCTTATTATTGAAACACGACACATATCTTTCATTTTTGCTTTAGAATTTGCCGTTAAAAGTGACATAACTTTATCACGAAACAACAAGTCAATAACACAACTTCATGAAATAAAAATATGAATACACACCCGTATGCTTTCACATATAGCCTAACAATATGGATAACATATTTACTTTAAACCAAACAAATTTAAAGTCTGAAACAGCATGAACTTATACTGATACTGAAAATGAAACAATAACTTTAACGTTTTTGTGGACACTGTTCTTGTAGATGTATACAGTCCATCAGTTTGTAATGTCGGGGAAAGCCGGTAAGGCAGGCAAAGGAGCTTGGTGAGGGGTCTCTGTGGGAGTGGCAAGGGGGATCTCTGTTCTAGTGTCATCAGGAGTTTCTTTCTTAATAACAGGGTTCAAGCTTGAGACTGAAGGGGGTTCTTCCTCTTTTAATGCGTCCCGTAGATTCTTGTTTAGGAATATGATTGCGTCTGCAGTCTCCGGACTCAAGGCATCCCGTTGTTTAGTAATGGTGAGTCCGGCAGCAGAGAACGCGCGTTCAGATGGAACACTGGTTCCAGGTATACAGAGATACCTCTTGGCAAGTGATGCTATACGTGGGAACAGGTTCTCATTCTCCCGCCACCAAGATAGCGATAGAGACTTCAAGGTAGACCTTTCTCTCACTCGTGTTTGTGCGTTCAGGAACTCAGTGTATTCTGTTCTGATGTCTCGTTTGTCTTCGATGTCGTCTGATATTTCGATGATGTCACTGAGCAGGAATGACATCGCATCTTCTGATTCACAGAATTTGAATTTCTTCACAGTTGGCTTCGCTGGCTCGAAAGGAGATCCTGGCTCTTCTTTCACACTTACAGCCGTAGGTAGGTCAACGTCGGTACGCGGCTGGTCAACTGCTGCCTGAGTGATGAGGTCAATAACTGCATCCCGGACTTCAGTTCTCTGTTCGGGCTTAAGACACTTCAGGTTTTTGTAGCATGGGTCAAGTGCTGACGCTATCAGGGTAGGGGATTGTAGGAATCCGTCCTGAAAGAGGCGTGAAGAAAGACCGGCGGAGATTCTCGTCTTCATATCACCGATGATGTTGGCATCAACATCTCTCACTACAAGGTGATTGTTAACAAGTGCAGGGACTAAAGGGTAGACCCCAGATGCCGTTGGAAATTCCTCACTACACAGAATTTCTGTTGCTGAAACAAGAGGTTTCAGTGCTATGACAAGCTGGTCCACCAACGTCCAGTGGTTGTCCTTTAGGTCTATGTGTTTGTGTTTCTTGAGAAGGGGATCACAAAGCACTGCAACAATGTCACCATGCAAGAGTGACAGCCGGTCAAGCAGAAAGTAGACGGAATTCCAACGCGTCACAACATCGGTGATGACATGTTTGGGGGTTTTCCTAGTTTTTTCTGATGACTTTCGAGAAACTGTGTTGCCATTGTCGACTTTGCAAAGAAGGCCACAAGTTTGCGTGCATGCATTAGCATGTTTTCAATGCCAGGTACCTTGAACCCATCATGAACAGCAATTAGAGTGTGTGGGCAAAACAGTGGACATGGGGATAGCCAGCCGTTTTTGCTGCAACTGACATGTTTGAAGCATTGTCAGTTGTAATGCCAGACACTGTATTGATACCAAATTCCTCCTGAATTTATTTCAGATTTGCAGCAATTTTTGCACCGGTGTGCCTCTCCTCTACACGTCGTGTTACAAGGATGCATGACTTTAAATTCCAATCTGATAAGTAGTGGGCAGTGACAGTGATATAGCCGTGAGTGGCTACGCTTGTCCACATGTCCGTAGTTAGGGCAACGGCAGGCACTGTTTTGAGTACTGATATTATGTTCTCCTTGCGATCTTCATACGACTTCATGAGGTAATTGTGAATTGCCGCTGCACATGGGACCTGGTAATTTGGGTTCAAAGCTTCACAGAAAGCCCTGAAACCCTCCCCTTTAACAAGGCTTATTGGTCGCATATCTTTAACGCACATAAGCATTGCTTTTTGCGTAATACCTTCATACCATTTCCTGTCAACAGGCTTGCGACTTTTGCTAACAAAATTACCAAACTGCCCCAACGTTGTTTGCTGAGCTGGTTTTCTCTCTACAGAGCTTATTTGCGGGTGCTTACAGGATAAATGCTTGCGCATGGAACTTGTTGTACTACCTGCTTAACTAAGGGAAACACCACAAAGACGGCATTTCGTCTTTTTGGCCACTACATCAAGATCAAAATGCATCCAGACATTGGATTTCTTCTCACGATCATCCATCTTGATTGCGTAAGGCGTTTAGAGTTATCTCCCCTGCGAGTCCTCGAGTCCTGCTTTACCCGTCTCGGCCCCAAGTACCCGAGTACTCGTGAGAGCCCTACCCCCTACCTCCCCACAACAAAATGGGTGCCCCCATAAAATCATCACACACACCCTCAATAACACCACCACCCAACCCCCCTCCCCCCAAAAAATATATCAAATAGATTCTAGTGTATGTGTCACTTTTCTGCTGCAAATTGTCATTACAAAATACATATTGACATGACAAGGACATCATGAAAAGGCATTAAGAAACAGCATCCTATACATCAAACTTGGATCCATGTAACCAAACACATTACCCCCGGGCTCCATCCAATTCAGCATTCATAAATTTCATACCGTCCATTGGTAATTTCAAGTAATTTTCCCTTTGAGATATTGTCAAGATAAGTGTAAAGTGTTAGTAAAACATTACTCTAAACATTGTCAAGTAACACCTGGTAATGTCTGGAGAGATCGGTTATAACGTTGTGGTTTGTTATTATGGGTGAGGTGAGGTGAAATTGGGTTTAACGTCATGCTTGAGAATATTTCTCTCATATGACAACGTGCATGCGTGTGTATGTGCGGCTGCTTGTACTAGCCAAAACTTAAGCTGGTTTTATAGTGCTAGCCCACTGAGATACCATGCCGCAGTGAAGCATGAATACCCCACTTAGACACATTATACTGACTCCCGAGCCAACAAGTCCTTGTTGTAACCATTAATGCCGAGCACCAGGCAGGGACCAACAAGTATCATATTTTAAGGTCTTTTTGTATGACGTGTTTGGGGATCAAACCCGCGACCTTCCGCTCTCCTGGCGGACGCTCTAACCACTACACCACGGAGGCGGTCACCATCAGAAGGAAATAACTCATAGCTACATTGTTGCTTAATGAAGGTGACTAATTAACACCCCCTGTCACTGCAAGCTATTTCTATATGTATTAGTTTCCTGTACATTCATAACTAGACAAGATTTGCTAAATATAGGGCCTTTTTAGGGCAAAGCACATCGAATTAGGACCTTTTCAAGGCTTCAACGAATTTAGGACCTTTTTTAAGTTAAAACTCCAAATTTTTAGGCTTTTTCAATCCTGTGCGAATCAGGAATGTGATTATTGCACTTATATAGTTAAGTCTTTGCACCATTGTGTGTCGTTGCTGGTAGTGAGTGAGTGAGTTAGATTTTACGACGCTTTTAGCAATATTCCAGCAACATTTGGAAAGGAACACAAGAAGCGGGTTTCACACATTGTACCCATGTGGGAATCAAACCCGGGCCTTTGGCGTGACGAGCAAACGCTTTAGCCACTAGGCTACCCCACCTAGACTTATGCCAGTGTTGTAGTGCCAGCCTATAAAGAACGCCATGCCAAATATAGACAAACACGGTATTATTCTGAGCCAACAAACCTAACAGATGGTTCGCGTTCTACCCATTCATGTATTTCTCTGTTTCCTATCAGTATATGTTCAATGTCCTACCTGTACAGAGCGTCCCCGTCCTGAAGATAGGCACCGACTGGGGGCAGACCATCCGAGTCAAGATTCCATTTCTGGCTCGACTTGCTGGGTATGTAACCTGACAACAGGAATGATTGTGGCATACAGTTCAAGTCGGGTTTGTACATGTAGGTTGGATCAGAGGACTGCACGGTATTATCCATGTAACAGGCCATTTCTTCCCCGGTCTAAACTTTCCCCGGGGAGAATCTGGCCTTGGCCAAACTTTCCCTGGGGAGGTTTTGTCCTAGGATATTCTTACCCCGGGAAAGTATGTCCTAGGCCAAAGTTTCACCGGGGAAAGGTCGGCCTATTACACCGGCATACCGGTATATCGCAATACGCCATTCAAACCATACATATTGCAATTTTTTGTATGAGAACTGGTATATTGGGGAAATGAAGTTTTTGTGATTATCTTTATGGTTAAAATTAAAGTCTACACATACTTTCATTCACAACAAATGTTTCCTGCATCATTCAATGACTAAACGACATACTGTCATACTAAAAACTGCATGAAAAAGAAAATAGAAGCCATAAAAATGCAACCTAAGTTTGACATTGCTGTAGAGGGGATTGTAGGGCAAAAGCCCCTGTGGACAAAAACCCGTAAGGACTAAAAACCCAAATGACCATGAGGACCTTTGGACAAAACCCCAAATATGTTTTAACTACTGAGTGATTGACTTAAGTGACATGTTTTGATTGAATCAGTAAAAGAGATTATCAGTGACAGGAATTAACAGGCTTCAATAATCAACTTAATATTTCGTTTGTAAACATTATTAAGGATGAAGCTTCATTATTGATGAAGATTAACTGACTTCAAGAGTATTAAATGTTTAACTTAGTATTTAGATATGGACACATTATTAAGTATCTCAACTCACTGTCATATTACAACTGGTATAAATATATGCTCCATAAACTAAGCAGGCAGTAGCATTCCAGCATGGAGGTATTGAAGAATAATAGGGGTGGTGTCAAGTTGAAGAATAATAGGGGTGGTGTCAAGTTAAGCCAGGAAGGTGATGAGAGGAAAATTAGTGTTCAAATTGTGATGAACCCAGTTTATGCTAGTGCTCATAGGTGCTCATATTGTATGTCATATCGGATAAATAAAATATTTGAATAATAAACAATCTTTATTATTCATTAGGAGCTTTTGGGTTTTTTGTCCAACATGGTGGGGAGTTTTGTCCTAAGGGGGCTTTTGTCCACATAGGTTTTTGTCCGATTAGGGACTCATAATGTAGAAAATAGGATCGACATGTACAATTAGTATCACTGACTGTCAAACACTTAGGTTCCCAATATATCGCAATACGTATCGCAACACGGGTACCTGAATCACAATATATTGCAATACAGTTTATTTGCCAATACACAGACCTAATGAGAGACATGTACCACTGTCAGAAATCCCACAACGCAGCTTTTATCATACTCAGACTCAGCACAGGATGTCATTCCTACTCGTATGGACACCACATCCAATGGTTGGGGACTACCATACCTTTACTCTTAGGGTCCGTTCATAATTTATGGGTGGGGGAAGGGGGGTAGGGGCTTGGGGAAGGTGATGATGATTTTCATAGAAAAGCATGTACAATGTGAATGCCAACACTAAATATTATGTACAAAATATGTGACCACCCCTTGCATGTCATGTACAATATCCATGCCCCCCCCCCCCCTTTTGTAATTTATAATCATATTTGTTTCTTATTTTTGTGTACAAAATTGGTGACCCCACCCTAGTACATTTGTACAAAATTGCTCCAACACACACCTATCCAGAATAAAATGAGTGACCCCCCTTAAAATCATCATCACCACCCCCTAGCCATAAATTATGAACGATCCCTTATGTGGTTAATATGTTTAATTACATGTGCAGACTCATTAAATATGAAACAGTACAATATATTGAAAAGGTGGTGTAAGATGTGACGAATCCTCACATGGAGACTGCTGTGGCAGAGGTACTATGTTTGCCACGTGGAACTCTGGGCCGGAGAATGGGCAGTTGATTGGATAACTGAACAATTTGTTTGCATTTCAACAAACAGAATAAAATAATGGGGCCAAGTTCACCAGCTAATAAAGAGGGCCCCGTTCCTAAAAGCCATCGTAGCGATAAGATCATGGTAACTCCCATACTTTAACATCGACTTACGGCTGTCATAGCGCTACCATCGCTTTGAGGAATGGGGCCCAGTTTACTCGGAAACTGCTCAAAAACCCTGAATAGTCTGAGCAAACTAAAACACTAGATGTCCGTTAACACTTGGGGACAATAAATGTTTGAGGCGGTCCTAGTTTACTCAGAAACTGCTCAAAACCCCTGAATAGTCCGAACAAACTAAAACACTAGATGTCGTTAACACTTGGGGACAATGAATGTTTGAGGCGGGACCTAGTTTACTCAGAAACTGCTCAAAACCCCTGAATAGTCCGAACAAACTAAAACACTAGATGTCGTTAACACTTGGGGACAATGAATGTTTGAGGGCGGGACCTAGTTTACTCAGAAACTGCTCAAAACCCCTGAATAGTCCGAACAAACTAAAACACTAGATGTCCATTAACACTTGGGGACAATAAATGTTTGAGGCGGGGCCCAGTTTACTCAGAAACTGCTCAAAACCCTGAATAGTCTGAACAAACTAAAACACTAGATGTCCATTAACACTTGGGGACAATGAATGTTTGAGGCGGGGACCCAGTTTTCTCAGAAACTGCTCAAAACCCTGAATAGTCTGAACAAACTAAAACACTAGATGTCGTTAACACTTGGGGACAATGAATGTTTGAGGCGGGACCTAGTTTACTCAGAAACTGCTCAAAACCCTGAATAGTCTGAACAAACTAAAACACTAGATGTCAAGTTAACACTTGGGGACAATGAATGTTTGAGGCGGGACCTAGTTTACTCAGAAACTGCTCAAAAACCCTGAATAGTCTGAGCAAACTAAAACACTAGATGTCCATTAACACTTGGGGACAATGAATGTTTGAGGCGGGGCCCAGTTTACTCAGAAACTGCTCAAAACCCTGAATAGTCTGAACAAACTAAAACACTAGATGTCCATTAACACTTGGGGACAATGAATGTTTGAGGCGGGACCTAGTTTACTCAGAAACTGCTCAAAACCCTGAATAGTCTGAACAAACTAAAACACTAGATGTCGTTAACACTTGGGGACAATGAATGTTTGAGGAACGGGACCTAGTTTACTCAGAAACTGCTCAAAAACCCTGAATAGTCCGAACAAACTAAAACACTAGATGTCCATTAACACTTGGGGACAATGAATGTTTGAGGCGGGACCTAGTTTACTCAGAAACTGCTCAAAACCCTGAATAGTCCGAACAAACTAAAACACTAGATGTCGTTAACACTTGGGGACAATAAATGTTTGAGGGGGACCTAGTTTACTCAGAAACTGCTCAAAACCCCTGAATAGTCCGAACAAACTAAAACACTAGATGTCATTAACACTTGGGGACAATGAATGTTTTGAGCGGGACCCAGTTTACTCGGAAACTGCTCAAAAACCCTGAATAGTCTGAGCAAACTAAAACACTAGATGTCCGTTAACACTTGGGGACAATAAATGTTTGAGGCGGTCCTAGTTTACTCAGAAACTGCTCAAAACCCCTGAATAGTCCGAACAAACTAAAACACTAGATGTCGTTAACACTTGGGGACAATAAATGTTTGAGGCGGGACCTAGTTTACTCAGAAACTGCTCAAAACCCCTGAATAGTCCGAACAAACTAAAACACTAGATGTCGTTAACACTTGGGGACAATAAATGTTTGAGGCGGGACCTAGTTTACTCAGAAACTGCTCAAAACCCCTGAATAGTCCGAACAAACTAAAACACTAGATGTCGTTAACACTTGGGGACAATAAATGTTTGAGGCGGGACCTAGTTTACTCAGAAACTGCTCAAAACCCCTGAATAGTCCGAACAAACTAAAACACTAGATGTCGTTAACACTTGGGGACAATGAATGTCCTCCTTAACAAAGGAGTCTTCACAATGGATTTAAAGCTATCAAGTTCCTGTTGCATTTTTATTTCAAGTGGAAGTCTATTCTCTAGGAATGGTAAAGCAGCCTGAAATGTTAGACTGCCGCATATTAGTAAGTTTAGTTTTACCCCGCGTTCAGCAATATTTCATCAACATCATAGCGTGAGACACCAGAAATGGGCTTCACACATTGTAATTTGTAGCCATGTGGGGAACTGAACCTGGGTCTTCAGTATGAATGCTTTAACCATTAGGCTACCCATTGACCCTGATAACTTAAGACCTTTTGAAAGTTTATGTTGGTGAATGAATATGTAACTGTTTCATGTCTTCAAATAAATTTCATTCAAACTTTTAATGTCAGCTTACTAAGAACGCAGGAATACTTCGTGTTGGTTGCTGTTTCCGTCTGAAGAGAAATAGACTGAAAAACAAAGAAACAAATTGTACTTCTAACTTATAAGGAGAGAAGAAATTTAATGATGTTTGATGTTGCTTTAACCCATTCAACTCCGCAGGCCGAATAATCGGCCACAATGTTATGAGTCCCCAGACACCGGTGGCCGATTAATTGGCCAGGCAGTAGTCACGTCAAAATGAGACATAATTTTAGGAACCTACCTGACTTATGATTCATATATTAAATCTATCACATTTCACAATGTCTGAAAACACTTATTTAATTTCAACTGATCATATATTATCTGCAGAATTAAAATTATGAACTATTTTTCGCAATGTTATTGAAAACGATTCTCGGAAACATGCTTCGGCAGTGGATCCACAATAACATTGTCAAAGAGCAAAGTAACGATGTTTCGAGGAAATCATTAAATAATTTGAATAAACTAATGAATAAAATCAACAATAGCATTCATGAAATATTTTTATGTACTAAATTGCTGACCCCCCTTACCTCCCCAGGACAAAATAAGAGACCCCCCTTGCATATCATGTACAAAATCAATGACCCCCCCTTCCCCTTCCCATAATTTCTAAGAGTTAAGAAACTATTTCCCAACTCGACTGACAAATATTTTGTCCCCCCATCCAGGATATCAGCAAACTTTGTTGTGCATGATTCTGAACCACAAGCAAATATTGTCTTTTTTATTTTGTTTGTTGTTTAACTCCACACTCAGCAATAATCCAGCTATGTGGCAGTGGTCTGTAAATAATCGAGCCTGGACCAGACAATCCAGTGATCAATATCATGAGTATCGATCTATGCAATTGGGATACGATGACATGTGTCAAGCGAGTCAGTAAGCCTGACCAACTGATCCTGTTAGTTGCCTCTTACGACTGCTAACACAGATCTTCATCGGTCTACTTCTGAGTAATGATGTCTGTTAGTTGTTACTTTTGGCAATTGGGATATGACGACATGTGTCAAGCAAGTCAGCGAGTCAGACCAAGTGATGCTTTTAGTTGCCTGTAATGACTTCTAACATGGATCTTCATTGGTCTGCTATTGTCACGTTGTTCATTGTGATACAAAAAATAGCATTTCAAGGTTGGAGGTTCAATTTAAACTTCCCTTCCTCTAAAAATCTGAATGCACTTTTCCTGTTTGATAAAAAAAGAAAGAATAGTAATTGAGAGTCAGCTATCATAGGTTGTTAATATGATTTGAAACTTCTGATTGACCAATCACAATTGAGTATTTTCTGAGGTTACAGTTACCTGAGACTTGTATATACAGCCATGGGCCAGACCTCTCTCTGCCGATGACTTGTTGATGATCATAGCATCTTCCATGTCATAGCCCTGAAAGAATCAGGTGGGTATATACTAGGGTTGGGTATCGCCAAAATGTACGTATTGCGATACATTGTAATATGTGTTGGTGTATTGCAATATGTTTTGCAATATATTGTGAAAGTGTAACACATGGGTTAAAGTAGTGAAATTACTGTTTCCTTTCTTTTGAAACAATGCCACTGGCCACTGTCAGGACTCAGACATAATTGTACAAGAGATCAATTGAAAATGTTTCCAATTTGAAGACTTCGCTCTAAAGTTTGGAACTTGAGAAAAAGCGTCAGCAGCTGCATCCGCCAATTTGGTTTGTTTATCCCTACGAGTGATGGTAACAATCTATTTTGTTATTTATATGGTTTAAAAGTCAGGCAAATGCAATTATATGACCAATAAACATTCTCAAAACTATTAATGTGTAACAATATAAAGGAAATACAAATGCTATTAGTAGTTTGAATACATCACGAAAATTACTGATCGTATCGGGAGAATCAGTTTGCAAAAAGTGGACCGCAATATATCGTATTGCGCATTGCGAAGTTCGAATTGCAATATACCGGTTAACCGGTATTATCGCCCACCCCTAGTATATACACCATCAACTCCTCCAACTGTGAGTCAGGGTGTTTGTGTGTTGTTACTGACAAACCAAGGGTTGAAACCTCAGTCACTATTCCAGCGACAGCCAAGGGACAAAACTCTGAACTATGTGTGTGTGTTAGACCACTGTATAACATTAAAATAAGGTACTTTTCCAAAGACAGCAAGATGTCAAATTAAACTAAGGTATCATATTAAGCTATGGTATCACATTAAACTGAGGTATCAAATTAAATTTGGATACCAAATTAAACTAATGTATCACATTACAATAACAGAAGGTTATAAATTACACCAAGGAATCAAATAACATCTAGATTACAAAAAGTGGCTAAATCACAAAAAGGTATAAACAAGTATAAAATAAGAATGAGGTATAAAAAATTACACAACGGTTTTAAATTAAGCCAGTCTTATTTTGATTGAATGTAGGCTGTATAGCTCTACTTACTGTAAAGGATATGACAGGTGTCGCTACTGACTGTATAGGATATGACAGGTGTTGCTACTGACTGTATAGGATATGACAGGTGTTGCTACTCACTGTGTAGGATATGACAGGTGTTGCTACTGACTGTATAGGATATGACAGGTGTTGCTACTCACTGTGTAGGATATGACAGGTGTTGCTACTCACTGTGTAGGATATGACAGGAATAGCAATATTCCAGCAACATCACGGTGGGGGACACCAGAAATGGGCTTCACACATTGTGCCCATGTGGGGATTCGAACCCGGGTCTTCGGCGTGACGAGCCAACGCTTTAACCATTAGGCTACCCCACCAACCCCACTGTGTAGGATATGACAGGTGTCGCTACTGACGTATAGGATATGACAGGTGTTGCTACTCACAGTGTAGGATATGACAGGAATCGTTACTCACTGTATAGGATATGACAGCTATCACAGCGTTGGTGCCAGGAGGGTAGATATCAATACCCAGATCAGAGTAGTATTTAGGCCTGACGAGTGGAGACTGTGGTGTCAAGAGACGGTAGAGCTTGTTGTCGGCGCGGTGGGCGATGTTGTGGCAGGCGGTTCCCAGCGTCTGCTTTGCCATCTAGAACACGATACAACATCTTACATGGCAGTTGGATCTCACCATTAGGGACCGTTCATAATTTATGGCTAGGGGGGGTAGGTGATGATTTTAAGGGGTCACCCATTTTGTTCTGGAGAGGGAGGGGGAAGCAATTTTGTACACGTGTAATATGGGGGGTCAGCAATTTTGTAAATAGATATTATTAAAAATTATGCTTAAAATTTATGGGAAGGGGGGGCATTGATTTTGTACATGACATGCAGGACTCTGAGGGGTCACTTACTTTGGGGTGGGGTCATTCACATTGTACGTGCTTCTCCATAAAAATCAACATCGCCCCCTAGCCATAAATTATGAACGGTCCCTTATATCACATTTGTTGTATCTGACAGCTGTATCTGACATTTGTATTTGACAGTTGTATTTGACAGTGTGATGAGCAGACACTTTAATAACTAGGCTACCCCGGCCCTCCACTAACATTAGAAGTCCCTTTGAGTTCATTTATAGTATAAATACATATATATATCTTCTTCATTCGACGTAGTGAACCTAACAAATTCATCAGATACACCAGAGCCAAATCTGTTCAAATCAGTGAATCCAAAAGGTGACTGGAATGCTGGATGTTCCCTGGACTCACCTGACACAGGTACATGTTCCTGGGACTCACCTGACACTGGTACATGTTCCTGGGACTCACCTGACACTGGTACATGTTCCCTGGACTCACCTGACACTGGTACATGTTCCTGGGACTCACCTGACACTGGTACATGTTCCTGGGACTCACCTGACACTGGTACATGTTCCCTGGACTCACCTGACACTGGTACATGTTCCTGGGACTCACCTGACACTGGTACATGTTCCTGGGACTCACCTGACACAGGTACATGTTCCTGGGACTCACCTGACACTGGTACATGTTCCTGGGACTCACCTGACACTGGTACATGTTCCTGGGACTCACCTGACACTGGTACATGTTCCTGGGACTCACCTGACACTGGTACATGTTCCTGGGACTCACCTGACACTGGTACATGTTCCTGGGACTCACCTGACACTGGTACATGTTCCTGGGACTCACCTGACACTGGTACATGTTCCTGGGACTCACCTGACACTGGTACATGTTCCCTGGACTCACCTGACACTGGTACATGTTCCTGGGACTCACCTGACACTGGTACATGTTCCTGGGACTCACCTGACACTGGCACATGTTCCTGGGACTCACCTGACACTGGCACATGTTCCTGGGACTCACCTGACACTGGTACATGTTCCTGGGACTCACCTGACACTGGTACATGTTCCTGGGACTCACCTGACACTGGTACATGTTCCTGGGACTCACCTGACCTGAAACTGGTACATGTTCCCTGGACTCACCTGACACTGGTACATGTTCCCTGGACTCACCTGAAACGGGTACATGTTCCCTGGACTCACCTGACACTGGTACATGTTCCTGGGACTCACCTGACACTGGTACATGTTCCTGGGACTCACCTGACACTGGTACATGTTCCTGGGACTCACCTGACACTGGTACATGTTCCTGGGACTCACCTGACACTGGTACATGTTCCTGGAACTCACCTGACACTGGTACATGTTCCCTGGACTCACCTGACACTGGTACATGTTCCTGGGACTCACCTGACACTGGTACATGTTCCTGGGACTCACCTGACACTGGTACATGTTCCTGGGACTCACCTGGCACTGGTACATGTTCCTGGGACTCACCTGGCACTGGTACATGTTCCTGGGACTCACCTGGCACTGGTACATGTTCCTGGGACTCACCTGACACTGGTACATGTTCCTGGGACTCACCTGGCACTGGTACATGTTCCTGGGACTCACCCGACACTGGTACATGTTCCTGGGACTCACCTGGCACTGGTACATGTTCCTGGGACTCACCTGACACTGGTACATGTTCCTGGGACTCACCTGACACTGGTACATGTTCCTGGGACTCACCTGACACTGGTACATGTTCCTGGGACTCACCTGACACTGGTACATGTTCCTGGGACTCACCTGACACTGGTACATGTTCCTGGGACTCACCTGGCACTGGTACATGTTCCTGGGACTCTGGTTGAAGTCGGAGAATGGTGTCATATTGGCCAAGAAGCTGAGTATGCTGGTTGGGGCAATTTCCTGATGTGTGGTCACCTTGGAAACAGTTACCATGGTTACTCGCATTGGTCATCAACTCTCACGTAACACCAATATGAAATTTAGTTTGTAATGTTTTGAAATGCCTGGGAGACTAAACGTACTTTGCAGAGATCAGGAAGGATGACAAATACTGAACCTGACATGTATGTAGTTCATAGATCTATGGTGGCTTCCAGGGACACAGGTCTCTAATAACTAATAGAACTTAAACAGGAAGACATGGTCATCAAAATCCTCCACCACACGGTTCCTGTTGTTTAACTCCACCACCACATTCATATCCTGAAAATACATACCAAATTTGGTTTCCCTATCTATACTGGTTTCTGAGAAAATCTGTCCCCATTGGGGATATTGTGCACTGAGTCAAGAAACACACGACAAGGGTCGTATCTCTGTAACAAATTGTAACAAGGTTTACTTTTTACGAACTCCATCAAGGCATTCATGTCCTGAAAACACACATCAAATCTGGTTTCCCTTAACGGTTTCTGAGAAAATTTGTCACCATCATCTCAGACGGACGGACAGAGCTCAAACCTATATCCCCTTCACTTTGTGGCGGGGGATAGTAATCTAGGATTGTTTTGGTCATAGGACAACTAATCTGAGAACACATCATCCTCCATGAGAAAGAGTGAGTGAGTTAAGTGTTACGCCGCACCCAGCAATATTACAGCTATACGGCGGCGGTCTTTAAATAATCGGATCGGGACCAGACAATCCAGGGATCAACAGCATGAACATCAATCTACGCAATTGGGATACGATGACATGTGTCAACCCAATCCCATTAGTCGCCTCTTACGACAAGCATGGGTTACTGAAGATTAATTCTAAACTGGATCTTCACGGGTCTTACATGAGAAAGAACTGTATGATCTAGCTAAAGTCTCTTATTTCATTCATTGCAGACAAACACAGGCAGTTGTCTGATAAACTGTTTGTTGTTTGCACACTCGGTGATTTTTAATCCGATTTAAGTGGTGGTGGTCTGCTGGGATACGATGGCATGTGTCAAACAAGTCAGCAAGTCTGACCACCCAATCCTGCTAGCCGCCTCTTATGACAAGCATGGGATGCCTAAGACCAATTCTAACCGGGATCTTCCCAGGTCTGACAGTCACTGGAAACATGACAGTAGACATAATCACGTAATGCTAATACAACACTCTCACCATGGGTGAGGTGAGGTGATATTGGGTTTAACGTCGTGCTGGAGAATATTTTGCTCATACCGGTATGTCGACGTGAATGCGTGTGTATGTGTATGCGCGGCTGCTTGTACTAGCCCAGACTGAAGCTGGTGTTATAGTGCTAGCCCACTGAGATACCATGGCGCAGTGAAGCATGAATACCCCACTCAGACACATTATACTGACTCCGAGCCGACCAGTCCTTGTTGTACCCATTAATGCCGAGCACCAGGCAGGGACCAACAAGTACCATATTTTAACGTCTTTTGGTATGACGCGTCCGGGGATCGAACCCACGACCTTCCGCTCTCCAGGCGGACGCTCTAACCACTACACCACAGAGGCGGTCTCACCATGGGTGAACCAGCCACTACTTACCCCGGAGTGGAACTCCTCCTCCGTGATGCAGATATCGAGGTAGACCTGCTCGAACGTGCCTATCATTTCCACCATCCCCAGACTTAGGTTGAGGACGGGCCGCATCATCCTGGTGGGGCCCATGAACAGGTAGACTGCTGGATACTGGCTGGCAAACTCGGTCTTGGGAACCAGGCAGATCTCCAGAATAGCCGGCACCTAGGGAGAAGAGACCATTGTCATAAGAGGCAACTTCCAGGATTGGGTGGTAAGGCTTGCTGACTTGGTTGACACATGTCATCCTATCACAATTGAGAAAAGCGATGCCCATGACGTTGATCACTACATTAGATTATTACAGATCTCTGACACATTGCTGGAATATTGCTGAGTGCAGCGTTTAAGTGAATGAGTGAGCGACTGAGTTTACTTTTATGCCGCTTTTAGCAATGTCACAGCAGGGAACACCAGAAATGGTCTTCACACATTGTACCCATGTGGGTAATTGAACTCGGGTCTCACGCGTGACAAGCGAATGCTTTAACCACTAGGCTACTCCACAGCTCCTGTAGCGTTAAACAAACAAACAACACACACAAACACAATTACAGCTTCAGCCATCTCAACTAGCACAGTACTGTTATTCATGCACGATCAGGCTGACAGACTAGAAGGGTTGACAGCTTCGACCTAATTGCGGTAATAAAACCGACCATGTCGGTCATGTAACTGACCTTATCAATTCCCTTGACTTTCATGACGCGAAGTCTATCACAGAAGTTTTTAGCAAGGTTGTCGCTGATGTACCCAACAGGGATGCCATCCAAGTAGACGGGGTAGCTGCCCTTCACCGTGCCTGGAGATCTGTCTTCCAGTCGACACAATCCTGCGTCCTCCATCACCGTCAGGAGGTGCGTCTTCTTGTGCTGCACCGTCACAACCTGTAACAACAGTTTACAGCCCTTCTTAACAACAACACAGATTACAACCTCTATTAACAACCACATAGTTTCCATTGATAACAATCACACGGCTTCCAATCCCTCTTAACAACCACCCAACTTACAACCTCTCTCAACAACCACACCGATTACAACCTCTCTCCACAACAAAACAGATTAAAAGCTCTCTAGTCCCACCACTCTCTCTACGACCCCCATCTCTAGCCCCTCCCCTCTCTACAACAACCCCCATCTCTAGTCCCTGCCCACTCTCTACAACGACCCCATCTCTAGTCCCTTCCCACTCTCTACAACGACCCCATCTCTAGCCCCACCCCTCTGTATGACCCCTATCTCTAGCCCCTCCCCTCTCTGTCTACAACGACCCTATCTCTTGCCCCTCCCCCTTACTACAATGACCCTATCTCTAGCCCCTCCCCTCTATGACCCCATCTCTAGCCCCACCCCTCTCTGTACGACCCTATCTTTAGCCCTTCCCCTCTCTACAACAACCTCATCTCTAGCCGCTCCCCCTCTCTACGACTCCATTTCTAGCCACACCCCTCTCTGTACTACCCCTATCTCTAGCATCCTCCACCATCCCCTCTGCAACGACCCCCATCTCTAGCCCCTCCCCTTTCTGAACAACAACCCCAATCTCAGAACGTATACAACGACCCGTCTCTGCCACCAACCTGACAGCTATGAGTGAGATGGTTCATCAGGCCACATGGAGCGCCATCTGGTGTGTGTACAGGGCAAATGAAACCTGAAAGAAAGATTTTATGGAATTTGATTCTGATTGAACATATTCCTCTGACTGACTGACTGAGTTTGGTTTTACGCCGCTTTTAGCAATATTCCAGCAACATCACGGCGGGGGACACCAGAGAGGTAAATGTATGGGCTTCACACATTGTACCCATGTGGGGATTCGAACCCGGGTCTTCGGCGTGACGAGCCAAACCACATTCCTCTGCTTGTCAAATCATCATAATAGGGGCGGTGAGGTAGCCTAGTGGATAAAGCGTTGGCGCATCACGCCGAAGACCTGGGTTCGATTCCCCACATGGGTACAATGTGTGAAGCCCATACATTTACCTCTCTCAGCGAATACCTTAAGGAAATCGTTGTAATCCAGGGTAAATCTGTATCTTTCTTGGTAAATTTGCTAATGGTTACAATTTTGTGTTACAGTTTCTCCAGACAAAATGTCTCCCGCCATGATATTGCTGGAATATTGCTAACAGTGGCGTAAAACCAAACTCACTCACTCACTATCATCATAATAATCAGCAAAACATATCCAGTTATAACCACTTGATGAGTCCAATCCATGGATATTCTCATGCCAGTAAACTTTCCTTCCAAAGTTGGAGAAGCCACCCAGTAGTGTGTTAATAATGTAGCCAATAACATGACAGAGGTTTGTAAATAATCAAGTCTGGATCACACAATCAAGTGTCCTGCATAGATTTATGAAATTGGAGTATGACTGATTCGATAAGTTGTCTCCGAAGAGCATGGGTTACTTGTGTTTGCCTACAAAACTAGGGTTCAAAAGACATTGAACCATTTATTTAAATGGTCAAGAAACGTCCAGTTTTTTATTTCAAGAGTCCTGAAACCCACAATTATTCATCCCATGGGTCCAGAGACGTCCAATTATTTATCTAAGGGTCCTTAACAAACCATAGGGAGTGGTACAGTAATAAAAGTTGTGTATTGTAAGATTAATAGCTACATTTAAAACAGGAGTTATACATATTTCTTGTAGAGAATTTTACACAGTGAATATCACTGTGAGTGAGTGAGTTTAGTTTTACGCCACACTCAGCAATATTCCAGCTATATGGCGGCGGTCTGTAAATAATCGAGTCTGGACCAGACAATCCAGTGATCAACAGCATGAGCATCAATCTGCACAATTGGGAACCGAGCCTGACCACCCGATCCCGTTAGTCGCCTCAACCAAAATTAGAGGGTTTTTTAAGTTTGTTTTAGCCGAAATTAGTCGCCTCTTACGACAAGCATGGGTTACTGAAGGTTCATTCTAACCCGGACCTTCTCAGGTCAAATATCACTGTGCATCTCAAGGGGCACAATAAATATATATTAACCCTGGGTTGCTGAAGACCAATTACAACTTGTATCTTCTCAAGTGGGATGGGAGGTGAGGGTTTGAGGTTTGTGGTTTGTGAGTTGAGGGTTGTGAGTTGAGGGTTGAGGGCGGAGGTTTGAGGTTTGTGGTTTGTGAGTTGAGGGTTGTGAGTTGAGGGTTGAGGGCGGAGGTTTGAGGTTTGTGGTTTGTGGGTTGAGGTTTGGAGGTTGAGGGTATATAGGCATCCACACTGACAAGACATGACAGCCTGGGGACACTGTTACAACCAAACTATTGACAATAGACTAACCCCAGGCTTCGGGGCGGAGCTTGCGGACTCCTGTGGACCTCATGGTGGTGAAGACCGCTCCTCGGTGGACACACCGGAAGTGGGACAGGAACCGGAAGAAGTTGAGTTTGTCAGCCACAATGGCGAAGCCATTATACTGGAATGAGACATGGGAAACTCATTATTTTGATGTGTCAGTGGAAGTAAACATTGACACAGTGGCAGCAGTCACACACCCTGATGCCAGAAACCTGCATAAGCCCTAACACCTGACCCCTCATACTTGCAGTTCCAGACAGTAACACAAAACATGCATCAGAGACCCACATCCAGGCCTGCACACAATGATTAAAACACTTGCATGAGCCCAACTAACTGATCCCCATATATGCACAAGCACCCAAACGTGACCAGTACACTTGCAAAACACACACACACACACACACCCCATCCTATACACCTGCATGAGTCCCACACCCTGACACCCACTCCTACATGACAACCACATTGTGATCCCACACCTGCATGACACCCCACCTGCATGACACCCACAACCTGATCCCACACCTGCATGACACCCACATCAGACCCCAGACCTGCACCACACCCACAACTTGATCCCACACCTGCCTGACACCCACACCCTGATGCCACACCTGCATGACACCCACACCTGATCCCACACCTGCATGACACCCAAACCCTGATTCCACACCTGCCTGACACCCACACCTTGATGCCACACCTGCATGACACCCACACCTGATGCGTCACCTGCGTGACACCCAAACCCTGATACCACACCTGCAAGACACCCACATCCTGATCCCACACCTGCATGACATCCACACCTGATCCCACCCCAAACCCGGATCCCACACCTGCATGACACCCACACCCTGATCCCACACCTGCATGACACCCACACCCTGATCCCACACCTGCATGACACCCACACCCTGATCCCATACCTGCATGACACCTACACCCTGATCCCATACCTGCATGACACCCACACCTTGATCCCATACCTGCATGACACCCCTACCCTGATCCCACACCTTCATGAGTCATACACCTTGACCCCCATGGCTGCATGACTTTCACATCCTGTCCCCCAGACCTGTATGACTCCCATTTCCTGACCCCATACCTGCATGAGTCCCACACCCTGACCCCCAAACCTGCATGAGTTCATACCCTGACCCCCAAACCTGCATGAGTTCATACCCTGACCCCCATACCTGCATGAGTCCATACCCTGACCCCCATACCTGCATGAGTCCATACCCTGACCCCCATACCTGCATGAGTCCCATATCCTGACCCCCATACCTGCATGTCTCACGCCCTCACCCCCACACCTGAATGAGTCCATACCCTGACCCCCATACCTGCATGAGTCCCAGACCAGATCGAGATGTCAGGTTTCCAGTGGACAGGAGATACTGTACACTCCTCGTCACTTCACACTTGTCTCCACCTGACTGTGACAGTGCACGCTGAAAGGCAGCTGAAATACATTCATTATGTTAGTGTTACCATGGAAACAGTACAATTATGAGAGATTATTCAATTTTAACATGATAAAGGATACTTTTAAAGAATCATTTGTTTCTACATTCACAAGGCTCAGACAACTAGCTATTAGACCATGCATTATGTCCCTATTTCCAAGATCAATATATCACATCAACAATGAGACCCATATCCAAACACCTACGTCGAGACCCATATTCCACACCTTCACTGAGACCCATATCCCACACCTACACCAAGACCCATATCCCACACTGAGACCCATATCCCACACCTACACTGGACCCATATCCCACAACTACACTGAGACCCATATCCCACTCTGAGACCCATATCTCACACCTACACTGAGACCCATATCCCACACCTACACTGAGACCCATATCCCACACCTACACTGTGACCCATATCCCACACCTACACTGAGACCCATATCCCACACTGAGACCCATATCCCACACCTACACTGAGACCCATATCCCACACCTACACTGAGACCCATATCCCACACCTACACTGAGACCCATATCCCACACTGAGACCCATATCTCACACCTACACTGAGACCCATATCCCACACCTACACTGAGACCCATATCCCATGCCAAGACCCATATCTCACACCTACACTGAGACCCATATACCACACCTACACTGAGACCTATATCCCACACCGAGACCCATATATCACACCTACACTGAGACCCATATCCTACACTGAGACCCATATCCTACACTGAGACCCATATCTCACACCTACACTGAGACCCATACCCCACACTGAGACCCATATCTCAAACCTACACTGAGACCCATATCCTACACTGAGACCAATATCTCACACCTACACTGAGACCCATATCCCACACTGAGACCCATATCTCACACCTACACTGAGACCCATATCCCACACTGAGACCCATATCTCACACCTACACTGGACCCATATCCCACACTTACACTGGACCCATATCCCACACCTTCACTGGACCCATATCCCACACCTACACTGAGACCCATATCCCACACTGAGACCCATATCCCACACCTACACTGGACTCATATCCCACACCTACACTGAGTCCCATATCCCACACTGGACCTACACCCACACCCATATCCCATACCTACACTGAGACCCATATCCCACACTGAGACCCATATCCCACACCTACACTGAGACCCATATCCCACACCTACACTGAGACCCATATCCCACACCTACACTGAGACCCATATCCCACACCTACACTGAGACCATATCCCACACCTACACTGAGACCCATATCCCACACCTACACTGAGACCATATCCCATACTGAGACCCATATCCCACACCTACACTGAGACCCATATCCCACACCTACACTGAGACCATATCCCATACTGAGACCCATATCCCACACCTACACTGAGACCCATATCCCACACCTACACTGAGACCCATATCCCACACTGAGACCCATATCCCACACCTACACTGGACCCATATCCCACACCTACACTGAGACCCATATCCCACACCCACACTGAGACCCATATCCCACACCTACACTGAGACCCATATCCCACACTTACACTGAGACCCATATCCCACACCTACACACGACCCATATCCCACACCCACACACGACCCATATCCCACACCTACACTGGACCCATATCCCACACCTACACCGAGACCCATATCCCACACCTACACTGAGACCCATATCCCACACCTACACTGAGACCCATATCCCACACCTACACTGAGACCCATATCCCACACTGAGACCCATATCCAACACCTACACTGGATCCATATCCCACACCTACACTGAGACCCATATCCCACACCAAGACCCATATCCCACACCCACACTGAGACCCATATCCCACACCTACACTGAGACCCATATCCCACACTTACACTGAGACCCATATCCCACACCTACACACGACCCATATCCCCCACCTACACACGACCCATATCCCACACCTACACTGGACCCATATCCCACACCTACACCGAGACCCACACTAGTCCTGAATGTGCCCCACTCACCAGGTGTGAGCTCAAAGTCATCCACTGCTTCAGCAGCCTTCTGTATCACCAACTTCACCCTCATGAGGAAGTCATTCATCTTCTCCTGCAACACACATCAATCCCATATCAGTTTGGTATCTATCACACATCATTCTTGTCAGGTATATCACACATCCTTACTATTCATCACATATGTTCCATGTCAATTGCATATCCTAAACATCAGTAACATATGCACCATGTCAGGTACACATCCTCCACGTATGTCACATATCTGTGACATTAGTCACATATCCCCCCCATGTCAGTCACATATCCTAAACATCAGTCACACATCTGCAATGTTAGTCACATAACTGTTACAAAGGAAAGCCAGCCATATATACTTCACACATCAGTCGCAAACCTGTGACACGTCACACACTGGTCACACCTGTCACATGACACACACTGCTCAAACCTGTCACATGACACACACTGGTCACATCTGTCACATGACACATTCTGGTCACAAACCTGTCACATGAAACACACTGGTCACAAACCTGTCACATGACACACACTGGTCACAAACCTGTCACATGACACACACTGGTCACAAACCTGTCACATGGCACAGACTGGTAACAAACCAGTCACATGACACACACTGGTAACAAACCAGTCACATGACACACACTGGTCACATGACACACACCGGTCACAAACCAGTCACATGACACACACCGGTCACAAACCAGTCACATGACACACACTGTCACAAAGTCACATGACACACACCTGGTCACAAACCAGTCACATGACACACACTGGTCACAAACCAGTCACATGACACACACTGGTCACAAACCAGTCACATGACACACACCTGTCACATGACACACACTGGTCACAAACCTGTCACATGACACACACTGGTAACAAACCTGTCACATGACACACACTGGTAACAAAGTCACATGACACACACTGGTCACAAACCTGTCACATGACACACACTGGTCACAAACCTGTGTCACATGACACACACTGGTAACAAACCAGTCACATGACACACACCGGTCACAAACATGTCACATGACACACATTGGTCACAAACCTGTCACATGACACACACTGGTAACAAACCAGTCACATGACACACACTGGTCACAAACCAGTCACATGACACACACTGGTCACATGACACACACCGGTCACAAACCTGTCACATGACACACACTGGTCACATGACATGACACACTGGTCACAAACCTGTCACATGACACACACTGGTCACAAACCTGTCACATGACACACACTGGTCACAAACCAGTCACATGACACACACTGGTCACAAACCAGTCACATGACACACATTGGTCACAAACCAGTCACATGACACACACTGGTAACAAACCAGTCACATGACACACACTGGTAACAAACCTGTCACATGACACACCATATTAAACACACACTTTTCATGGCATAATTCAACTGTCTCTTATCTCAATGCCGAACACCTGCTGTCTGGGTTTACCTTGATGACCATCAGCATGAGATGTCCGGACAACAACAGTTCATGGTTCATGGGGTTGTCGGGGGAATCAGCAGCACACTCGCCCTTCGTGAACGCGTACAACTTCCTCGCCATGTGACTGCAGTCAGACAAGGAGTGAGTGAGTTTAGTTTTACACTGCTCTCAGCAATATTCAAGCAATATGATGGCGGTCTGTAAATAATCGCGTCTGGACTAGACAATCCAGTGATCAACAGCATGACCATCAATCTACGCAACTGGGATATGATGACATGTGTCAACCAAGTCAGCGAGTCTGACCACCCGGTTCCGTTAGTCGCCTCGAACAACAAGCATGGGTTAATGAAGACCAATTCTAACCCGGACCTTCACGGGTATGCACTCAGAGACAGCCATGTAAGACCACATGAAAACTATAGCACGTAGCCAACACATTTGAGTCTACCAGTCCAAATCTGTCTCTTGACATCATTCCATCAAAATCTTAGCATAACATGTGTTCTTCTAACAACAAAGTCGACTAGACCAAAATAAAATTTTAATAGTCTCAGGCTATTTGCTTGTTCCTTAAGTGGAAGTCTAGCACTGTTGACAGTCTTGGGCAAGTATATTGTTTCCCAATTTAAACTAAAACAACAAAATTTAAGCTGTCATAAGAATTTATTAACCTAAATGTCCATATGTTGAGTGAGTGAGTATGGTTTTACACAGCAATATTCCAGCAATATTTAGCAGGGGACACCAGAAATGGGCTTCACACATTGAACCATGTGAGGAATCGAACCCGGGTCTTCGGTGGGATGAGCGAACGCTTTAACCACTAGGCTACCCTATTGTCCCCAACATTTTGAAGCTGATGGAGAGGAACCTAACCAATGACATAAAAAAATACTCACATGAGAAAGTCAAACTTTTCTTTGTTGGATCTAAGATGCATGCACACAATATGTCTGAAAAAATAATAACATCAACTTCATTCAACAACACTTGAGTGAGTGAGTGAGTGAGTACAGTTTTACGCCACTTTTAGCAACATTCCAGCAATATCACAGCATCGGACACCAGGAATGGGCTTCACGCACTGTACCCATGTGGGAATCAAACCCGGGTCTTCAGCGTGACAAGCGAACGCTTTAACAACTAGTCTACCACACAGCAGAGAGATATCTGTGTGGGTACAGGTGGGTAATGAAGCTACCAGCAAGGTTTCCACGGTTATGTATCTTTCTAACACTTCAGTTGTAGGCCTTACTAACGAGTCAAAAAGACTTACATATTAATTACTCTTCATGGAGTAATTCATCTCACTAACTCTTCATGGTCATACATCTTACTAACTTTTTGAATCATAGGTCTTACTAACTACTCCCAGAGTTGTGCATTATACTAACTCTTCATCAAATCACACAGTATACTGAGTCCAACTAACTTTACAGTCGTATATACTTACCAACATCACAGAGGTACATCTTACTAACCCTTCACAGTGTCAAATATCTTACTGAGAACTGAGTTGTCCACCTTACCAACGTCACAGAACGTCACAGACCTACATCTTACAAACTCTTCACAGAGTCAAATATCTTACTGAGACCTGAGTTGTCCATCTTACCAATCTTCACAGATGTACATCTTACAAAACTCTTCACAGAGTCTTAAACCCTTATCTTACTGAGACCTGAGTTGTCCACCTTACATCTTACAAAACAGAGTCACAGAGGTACATCTTACTAACCCTTCACAGAGTCAAATATCTCACTAAGTCAACGTCACAGAGGTTCACAGAGTCAAATATCTCACTAAGTCACCAGTTGTCCGTCTTACAAACTTCACAGACGTACATCTTACAAAATCTTCACAGAATGATATATCTTACCAAGTCCTGAGTTGTCCACCTTACCAACGTCACAGAGGTACATCTTACCAACCCTTCACAGAGTCAAATATCTCACTAAGTCACGAGTTGTCTGTCTTACCAACTTCACAGACGTACATCTTACAAACTCTTCACAGAGTCATATGTCTCCCTGACCTTCACAGAGATGTATGTACCAACTTATTTACTCTTCACAGAGTTGTTCGTCCGTCTGACTGTTCACAGTGCATTAAGCCTTACTAACTCTCGTAACATTTCCCTGAGTAGAGTACTAACTTGAAGAAGAGTTCCCCAGCCTGTTTGTCAGAGATCCATGGAGGACAGAATCTGTAGGCAAGCTTGGCGCGGAAGTGTTGGCCGATGTGCTTGAGTACGTCCGACGTGGTGAACAGTTCGTCTGACAGAGTCTCCTGCAGCATGTTCACCACACACCTGGAATGAGTCAATAAAGAGATAAATATACTGTGTTTTCTATGTAGAGCTAAGTTACAAGCTGGTTTAATCGACCTGTGAAGATCTGAGTCAGTAACTAGGGGTGAAACTGTACACTCTTACCATGGTACGGTATTTATTGTGGTACGAGGCCTTCGGTTCGGTCTGTTTCTGTTTGGTATATATGAGGACTTATTTCCGGGAAAATAGCAGCCATCTAGCAAAGAAATGCGTTATATTTTGCCAAAATTGATTAGATTTCTAGACATTTTAGAAAAAAGGTTAATAAAATGATGATCACTGGATTGTCTGGTCCAGACTTGATTATTTACAGACCGCCACCAAATAGCTGGACTATGGCTGATATCACCATAAAAAAACAAACATATCAAACCAAAGCTGTTGTCATCATGCCAAACTGAACCTGGAACTCGTGTACAGTCTGAGAAAGTAAATGTTAAATTTAGCCTGGTATAATCTCGACACTGACAAAAAAGTCTGATTTTTCCATTTTGTGTGGAGTGAGTGCATGAGTTTAGTTTTACACTGCCTTTATCAATATTCCAGCAATGTCACGGCAGGGAGCCATTTTGTCTGGAGAAACTGTAACACAAGATCATAACGATTAACAAATTTACCAAGAAAGATGTAATTTTTAAAGTAAAATTAATAGTTTATACTTATCCTGACTCATGATCTTTTGCTTATCTCCCTTTCCCTTGCGAATGGTAGTGGAACACTTGAATCCCTTGAAGTTCCCGAAGCGGACGTAAAAATACACTCATCCACGTGTTACCTCCCTTGCCCTTTCCCGCGCAAACCATATCATGTGACGTGTCCATACTTGTCACTCTCTCCTTATTATCAGCCTCTGCACTTGGATCTGCTGTGAAATCTCAATTGTCTTCAACGGGGAGGTTGGGAGGGCTTCTCGTCATGAGTCAGGATAAGTATCAAATATTAAGTTTACTTAAAAAAATTACGTATTTTTCCTTATCCTGACTCATGATCTTTTGCTTATAGAATCCGACAGATTGGTGGTGAGTCAAGCCACTGGATTCAACAGCTGTCCTAAGATACGTCCTGTATCCCCCCCATGGGAACTGCTAACGGCATTTCCGTGATCCTATTCTTCAAACTTCCGTTATAACTTGTGGGGACCACTTCCTTGTCTTACTTTCATCTCAGACAAGTTGAATCATGTTGATTCATGTGGCTACAGATAAACTAGTATCTCCTATACTAGATATCTTATAACAACCCATAGATTATGATAAGATCCTATCATAAATGAGTTGCGACCCTTCCACTTACAGGTAAGGTTATTTATTACCCGTACAGGATCTTTAATCACTCATGCTAGCCTGTCTTAGACTGTGTGCATGGACTTTCAACTAGTACTATTCCTAAGTAAAAGTATCTACAAGTCAACGTGATAAAGGGTGAGATTTTTCCAATTCAGCGCCTTTGTGGAAAATTACCAGACGGAGGGCAAATCTACGTGTGCTAGCTTATCTACGCACCAGGAATCCTTCAACGAAGAGATTGTACCTCCTCACGTACCCCCTTTACTTCTACCTGAAGTATCTATGAGATCTACGACTGTTGACCTCTACTACTACGAGATCGTCCCCTACTACAGTCACAGCAGGAAGCTGTTGACGTACTACCTCTTACTTCTCGGAGTCAAGTTGAGGCACATAACTCTTCAGCATTCGCAAACGCTTCATCTACACCGTAGCAGTGTCAACCTATGCTGAATCGATGATGTCCATGATGGAACGTAGATTCCAGAAGGTATCGAAGGCTAAGGAAAGCCTCTCATCTACCGAAACCGTGCGCAAACCTAAGGATAGGTGCGAACCCACGGGCCTGCGCGAATCTACTCCTCTTGGATCTACACCTCAAGGCTACGTTGGAAACGTATACCTTAACGAAGGTTCACACAGTGGGACGACTCTGTCATCTTGGAGGGTGATAGAGATGACTTACCTACTCTATCTACGTCGAGAACATTGAAGGATCCTGCTCCTACACCTAGCCTCTCTAGAATTGAGATCTCATATTTCGCACAGACCAGAGGTTCGCGAAACATTCGCGAAGAGATAGCTCACCTCACAAGGTTCGCGAGGCGATGTATCTACTGATAGAGGTTCGCGGACAGAACACTCTCAAGATAGACGTTCGCATAGGGAGGAATCTTCAGATAGAGGTTCGCGAAGCGAGGATGAAGGTTCAAGAAGGGAAACAGGTTCGCAGATGGATGAACTGTGAGACCTAGCTCTAATAATCAGGAGACTTTGAACTTGCAAACGGACCTCCTCTTCACAGACTCATAAGTTACAGCATGGATTGCTAACGCACAGCTTTGAGAAAGCTACAGACATCTACAAGGTTTGAGAACTCTCAGATCTACAGGCAGATAACAGCAACGTAGACATCTACAGGGTTCGTGATACCCTAGGGTTACCAAACCCTTACATCAACAGGCAACTTGTAAAAAGTGAAGTTGACGATACGAATTTATTACCATAACGGCTGAATAAAACGAAGCATTGATGGAAACGGATGCTGAGGTCTTATACCAGGTAGCAGATGGCTCGCAAGTGCAGATATTGTCGCTCACTTACTCACCCAACCCAACAGAGACGCACTGCATATACGCTTGATGACTTCGAGCTCATAATATGATATCACTCAATGAAGCTGATAACTCAGTACTGGACAACCTTAAGACGCAAGCTGTTGGAAAGAGCTTAAGGTTAACATCGCCTTCAAGTATACTTGAACGGACGCATACAGATGATTGTATCAACACTCGCCACTCAGCATTGGGATTAGAATGATATCCTATCAACTAGATCTATACAGACATACGTCTCGACAGCCTCCTTCGTCATGCTCGGAATAAGTGATTCATATCACTAAACAAGATTTACACTTGGAGCAACCCTTAGTCAGGAGGCTTATATGAGCAGCGTAGGATTACGCGAGCTTTTACTCACAGATTTTATGGAGGCCAAGTGGCTACAACACTGGTGACGTCATGCTTGAAGCTGATTGGTCCACGTCAGACAACGCCTCCCACTGACAGAGCAGGCTCCAGCATGGTTTCTCATTGTAAACAAACCCGTGGTACGGAGGAATACTTCATCGGCAGCCTTGGAAACAGTATACAACGGAAACAGTATACAACTACGGCCTGTTATCATCATGGAAATCAAATAGATGTCTAGCCTTGACAACAGGATAAATGATGTTTATTTTGGAAGTTGTCGCTAATAGAAGTCGGTATGAGTACCTGTACCCTGCGATGCTACACGGGAGCCAGCCTTGCTATAAATAACAACGCTTCGATGTCAACACAGATCGCCTGCATATATAAGGGGAAGAATTATGTAGCAGAGGTTAGCACTTCCAATGGAACGTCCTATCGTTTGGAATATCGTAGGCTCTATGATTATTCATACGAATAACCAAGCCTATCGGCACCTATTACAAGATCTACGCAGTGCCAGATATCAGGACGGCATACAGGTTCTTCAAAGTGCCAATCAACTCAGAGAGCAGATGAACTTCTCAATTAAGTTGCTCACGCAACTAGGATGGCTAGTGAACCTGATGGAAATTGGAGTTAGAATCTATCAAGATCTTCAATTGCTGGGAATAATAATTATCCCAATACAGGATTGAAATGTGATCCCAGAAGATCATTGGGTCAAGATATTAGCCATGATTCAACAAAGCAGTCATCTCTCCGTTAACACTACGAACATGGCAAGTGCTACTCGGTCTGTTAACCTCGGAGCAGGACTTGACGCGCACAGGAAGGTTACAAATAAGACCGCTGCAACGGTTCCTGATAAAACATTTAGACAGCGTCGACCCTATCTTGCTGCCAGAAAACCTCAGGGAGATATCTACAGTGTTGGACACACAGGTCGAACGTTTGCTAAGGGACCTTATTTACAAGAGCCGACGTCCAACACGCATCTTTACGCTGATGCTCTGATGCAAGGATGGGTTCGCGCACATCTCAAGCGGCCCCTGAGGAAAGTGGTCCAAAATAGAACAGAAACTGCACATCAATCTGCTAGAGATGAAAGCAGTGATCAGCACGCCTTACAACTATGGTGAAGCTTGCTGAACAACAAGATGTTGATGATACATACGGACAACTCTACAGTAGCGTTCTCCATAAACCGCAAGGATCCACAAGGTCTCCAAGCCTATTGCAGCTCACTTTCCAGTTGTTCCAGATAACACAGGAAGCAAACGCCTGGATAAAGAAGCGTGTCACATATGGAGCCAAGAACGCATTGCGGCAGACGGCTCTCAAGAGCGACTACACCCGGTCACTCCACGGAATGGATGCCCCATCCAGAAGTAAGTTTGAACATAAAGATAGTATCCACTTGCCATAGACCTGTTTGCCACGAGGTTCAACAAACAACTAGAGACGTTCGTCTCACCAGTTCCAGATCCTCAAGCCTGGGCAACAGATGCACTGAGCATGTCGTGGGAAGGATTAAACAGCTACGCTTTTCCACCCACGATATTACTGCCAAAAGTACTGTTCAAGATCAAGCAGACTCAGATGCTACAACTGACTTTGGTTGCGCCTTACTGGCCAGTGAGAGCATGGTTCCCAGACCTGATAGGAGATCTTGGAAACCCAGTAATCAAGTTACCAGATTGGCCAAACCTACTAAAACATCCGCACACCAAGCAAGTCCACGGAAAACCAACAGTGTTCCAGCTACACGTGAGGACAGTATCAAAACATGCTTGAAGAAAAGAGGATACTCCGCCAGGGCAGCCAAAGCAGTAACGCTAGCGTTACGCAGATCGACTTCGTAGCTCATATGACGTCAAATGGCTAAAGTTTGACACTTATGCAAGGAAGGAAAGGCTTCATTATGCGATGATAGCCACTCATCCTCAAGTGGCGGAATATCTATGTCATCTTAGACAGACTAGACATCTGAAGGGTTCGACACTATCTACATACCTCGCTGCGATCAGTACAGTGATTACTTTGAAGTCAGGCATCAAGTTGACGAAAGTACCAGAATTACTTGCTCTGTTGAGATCATTTAAGCTGGAGGACCAGCAAAAGAAATTCAGAGCTCCAGCCTGGGATCTAAATGTAATTCTGCGTCATCTTACGAGTGATGTCTACGAACCACTAGGTCAGATTACACTCGAGCTGCTAACACAGAAAACGCTGTTCCTGCAGGCGTTAGCCAAAGCAGCTCGCATATTGGAGATACATGCCCTGGACTGTGGTCAAACTACTTTCTACAGAGGGCAAAATAATGCAGTTCATCTAGGACTTAGATGGGACTTTATTGCCAAGAACCAACTACCGTACCAGCGCTCTCTACAGTCCTTGGTCCACAGGATATAGACGACTTATCCTTGTGTCCAGTCAGAACCCTGAAGATATATCTTCAAAAGACTGAAACGAGGAGACAAAAATTCAAGCACCTGTTCATCCCAATATCAACACAGACTTCAGCAGAAGTCTCAAGAACGACCATATCGTTCTGGATGAGAGCCGTTATATTGAGAGCCTATAAAGCAGCAGGACTAGAACCTCCTAGAGCTTCCAACCCACACGAAGTCAGAGCACTGGCATCAACATTAGCTCTGCATGGAAATTGTTCTATACCAACAATTAAATGGAGGGCTGCTTTTCGAAAGTCGGACACGGTGTTTGCCAACCACTATCTCCTAGACATAGTCAACTAACGGTTCCGCAAAGGCGCTGAGTTGGAAAATCTCACCCTTTATCACGCTGACTTGTTGATAACTTTTACTAAGGAAAAGTTTCTAAGTCCATGCGCACAGTCTAGGACAGGCTAGCATGAGTGATTAAAGATCTTGTACGGGTAATAACCGTACCTGTACGTGAAGGGGTTGCAACTCATTTTATGATAAAGATCTTATCATAATCTCTATGGTTGTTTGTTATAAGATATAAGCTGAGATAAGATAATCCTTTAGGGAAGCAAACGGCATGTCATAACAATTTACAAATAATATCCAGTCCTGTCTATCTTCGGGTGGTCATGCCACCCATATATTTTGAGACATTTAATACGATGGCTGATTTAAGGTTTCCATTGGTATCATACCCTTTTACGTATCTCAACATAAACTTTATGATCCATAAATGAGACATATTCAACACACATGAAAAAGCATAAAATATCTTTGAGATGACCCCTTGTGCTTGTAGGCAGTATGTGCATTTCATGCAGGGTGAGTCAACGGTTCGTCGTCATACCTGGCTGAGCGACCTAATTGCCATCTATAGTCCGATCTATTGTTTTTAGTAGCTATTCGTATATTTTCTAAGTTTTGCCCCATTTTACGAGTAAACATGCTTTTCTGGAAATGCTATTACGCATCCCACAGAATGCCCAGTTAGGCCGATGTGGGTTATTTCGATACATGCTTTTCATAAATTTGTGAATTTTAGGGATACAAAGTAACAGCCAAAAACAGTTTTTTTCTATTTCCGACAGTACTTTAACTCATAATTCAGCCTCGAAATCATAGAGTAACATTACATTTCATTCTTGAGGTACTTATTTAGGAATCAAGAGAAAATAAATTCTAGCATACACACTGTCGGGTACCTTGCTGTAAACAAACAAGCAAAGCCAAGTTAATAATTCGAAGGAAGAAACAGATAGTTGATTTTTTTTGGGGTGGGTGGGGGTGTTTAATGCTTGAGTCAGCAATATTCCAGGTAAATGGCGGCGGTCTGCGAACAATAAAGTCTGGGCCAGACAATCAAGTGATCAACAGGGTGAGCTTCAATCTAGACAGTTGGGATATGATGACATGTGTCAACCAAGTCAACGTGTCTGACCTTCCGATTATGTTTGTTGCGTTAGTTGCTGCAGGATGTAATTTTGGCGGAATTTACCCTTTATAGAAGGAATCTTCTTCCTTCCCCTTGGTGAGCTCATCAAAGATGAACTTGTCTGTGCAATCTATCAGTCCCTGAAACAAACACCTACAGGCTTGTACATGTTAGAATTAGTGAAGTTGAAAAAGATATCAGAAAGGATTTACAGATATCCCTACCCCATTCACTGTATTGCGAAATATATATAAAATAATTAATAAAATACTGCAAAAAGCACACTTATGAACATTTTATGGATCACAATATGAACTATTAAATACTTTAATACTGAAAATCAGGGTGGTCCTTAACTTGTCTGTTGTTGAGTATATACTGCATGGTGTCTGATTATGCTCATCACAACTAATTGTGTCTTCACCATTCATTTTCCATGTAAAAATTTGTCATATGAAAATGATGAAAACCTATGCCTCATTAATAAAACTGTATTCCTACAACTCTGTATTGTCAGTTTTCTTAATAAGGGGACATTCATAATTTATGGCTGTGGGTGGGGAAGGAGGGGGGAAGGAATGATGATGATTTATATGGAAAAGCATGTACAATGCGAGTGACAGTTGATGCGAGTGAAAGTTGATGTACAAAGTAAATGACCCCCCTTGCATGTCATGTACAAAATCAATGACACCCACTTCCCTTGCCATATTTTTTAGTATAATTGTTTAATATTTTTATGCCCAAAATTGCTGACTCCTCCAGTACATGTGTACAAAACTGATGATCCCCTGCTACCTCCCCAGAACAAAATGGGTGACCCCCTCCTTAAAATCATCATCACCCCCTCTTGCCATAAATTATGAACGGTCCCTAAAACCGTTTCCCTACAAACAAACCTTGAGAATGGTCATAAGTGGGATGAAGAACATCTCCCGATTGTAGATGAAGCACGTCATCATGGCACCAGTGGTCAGATAGTGGAGGTACATGTTCTGAGAAACAAGGTCAGTGAGTGAGTGAGTGAGTGAGTAAGTGAGTTTGGTTTAACGCTGCTTATATCTATACAAGTTATACCAACCAATATATACTTTCGAGATATACTCTACAACATATGACTGACTGACTGACTGAGTATCGTTTTACGCCGTTTTTAGATATATTCCAGCAATATCACGGCGGGGGACACCAGAAATGGGCTTCAAAAATTGTACCCATGTGGGGAATCGAACCCGGGCTATGACCAAACGCTTTAATCACTAGGCTACCCCACCGCCCCCTACAACATATGACATATGTGACATACTGTATGATATTTTATACAAGATATACTATACAAGGTATATCATACAAGATATATACCAAAAGATACACTATTCAAGATTTAACATACAATATATACAGAAACATAAAATCACTACATTCAAGGGAAAGTTTTACAGTTTCATGTTAACACCACAGGACGCAGCAAGGATACCAGAACGGTAACTCAGGTTTCACTTCTGGGGAGCTTGATTGTTTCAGTGGTTGAGTTACCTGCCCCTCATGATCCTCCTTCACACATCGACAGGTGGCGCCATACTCTGTGTACCCATTCCCTCGCATCCGCCATCGATCTCGCTTGAAGCACAGAGGCTGATCCGGGATAAAAATACTGATTGATAATTTGACATCATTTGAAATCTAATCATGGTATACTTTTGTTAAAATGCTGCACTCAGCTATATTCTATATGGTGACCCATTCAAGCTGAGTGAGTGAGTGAGTATAGTTTTATGACGCACTCAACAATATTCCAGCTATATGGTGGCGGTCTGTACATAATAGAGTCTGGTCCAGACAATCCAGTGATCAACAGCATGAGCATCGATCTACGCATTGGGATATGATGACATGTGTCAACCAAGTCAGCGAACCTGACCACCCGATCCCGTTAGTCACCTCCTATGACAAGCATGGGTTACTGAAGATCTAACCCGATTCTAACTGTATTTCTACTCTGCGCACAAAATTGGAATTTGAGTTTGTTCCTGTATATGTCATATAACCCAGTCATTTCCGATGGGGATTTCTTGTTTCAATCCAGTGATCAACAGCATGAGCATCAATCCATGGAACAGGGATATGACTACGAACCTGACCACCTGATACAGTTAGTAGCCTCTTACGAAAACCAATTCTAAACTGGATCTTCAGTGATGGGCAGGAAGTAAAGGTATACTGAGAGCACTGATTTGTGACCACGTACACTCGGTCATATGTCATACACTAAAGATAGATACACTGATAAATACCTACCACGTTTCTCCTGTTCATAATTAACATCCGTATGACTTTCTCATTTCCATTGACCACAAAGTAAGTACAGCCTCAGCAAGTAAATACCTCAACATGATGTGTAAAGAAGCTTGTGTGTTGTTTAACCAGCAAGTCCAATATACTTATTTTCAACAAAATCAAGATGATCAACAGCACTGGGATATGATGACATGTGTCAACCAGGCCAGCAATGAGCCTGACCACCCTGTGTTGTTTGTTAAACGCCACACTCTGTCATACTACAGCTTGTGTGTTGTTTAACTCAGCTTCCATTAATTGTAAATAATCTGGGAAGATTGGTTGCAGTGACTGTACGACCAAGCAATCAATCATGTTTTCTCATAATCGAACACAAACAATTCTGGAACACTTGTTTTCATAAACAAGGTTGGTTTTGTCTGTTACATTTCATAAGCACTACAAGCTCGTTCCAAGTCATGATTGAATATATCTTAAAGACTCTAAGAAATTTATGTTCCTTACATACTTGTCATCCTTTAAAGATATGAAATTTTGCACCAAGAAACCCCAAAGAACTACATGTTTTTTTCCCTTATTTGAGCATTAATAAAAATAACCATGAACATTTCATAAATGACGATAACCAATTATTTTCGATGATTGATCGGTTGTAATGAACCAATCATCAATTATGAGATTTTAACCAATTCCCAACACTAATAATGACAGCCTGTAAACATTCAAGTCTGGACCAGACGACACAGTGTTCAAACGCATTAATCTACGCAACTGGGATACAAAGACATTCATCCATCAAGTCAGTGAGAATGACCACCAAATCCTATTCATTGCTGACCAGCAGATGGCTGAAGACCAATTCTAACCCGGATCTTCACAGATGGTGAGTGAGTGAGTGAGTGAGTGAGTGAGTGAGTGAGTGAGTGAGTGAGTGAGTGAGTGAGTGAGTGAGTGATGAGTGAGTGAGTGAGTGAGTGAGTGAGTGAGTGAGTGAGTGAGTGAGTGAGTGAGTGTGTTTGAGTGAGTGAGTGTGTGTGTGTGTTTGGGTGGGCGAATGAGCGAGCGAGCATGGTTCTACACCGCTTTTAGCAACATTCCAGAAGTAGCATGCATATATGGGCTTCACACATTGTACCCACGCTGGCAATCGAACCCGGGTGTTCAGCATGACGAGAGAACGCTTTACCCACTAGGATACTCCACCACCCCTAATGAATATGGGACACATTTCCGCAACAAGTGAACTAAATCTGAAATTATGATCTCAAATTGAGCACACAAACCTCTTCATCTTCATTCCGCTGGACCAGCTGTGCTGGCGTCAGTTTGGACAAATTACAAAGGTCAGACTGAAAAATAATAAGAAATCTACACATGATTAACAAAATCTTCTGAGTCTACTTGTCTTACACTATCACTTTGCAATATTTTAACTGAAATTTAGTATCCTACACTGAACAAATATTATACAGAATACAAGTTGGGGAATGAATATTTGAGTTCAATAATCATTTTGTAGTGAAAATTGATCAACATAAGCATATCATGAAAGAGACCTTGACTTAGAAATGTGCCCAAATAAATGTTCACTTACTTTCACCATGAAGGGCAGGTGCCCCAGTGACTGTTCCTTGACCTTCCCATGATACCTTCACCATGAAGGGATCACCATAATGGGCTAACTGGTGCACCAGTGACTGTCAGTGAACATTACCTTCACCATGATGGGCAGGTGCCCCAGTGACTGTTCTCTTTACTCACCATTGCCCACTATTCCGACCTTCCTTCACCATAATGGGCAGGTGCCCCAGTGACTGTTCTCTTTACCTTCACCATGATGGGGCAGGTGCCCCAGTGACTGACATGATGGACAGGTTTGAAGGGCAAACCCCTTTCACCATGATGGGCAGGTGCCCCAGTGACTGTTCCCTTCACCTTCACCTTAATGGGCAGGTGCCCCAGTGACTGTTCCCTTACCTTCACCATGATGGGCAGGTGCCCCAGTGACTGTTCCCTTACCTTCACCATGATGGGCTTCACTCATGATAAGGGGCAGGTGGCCCCAGTGACTGTTCCCTTACCTTCACCATGATGGGCAGGTGCCCCAGTGACTGTTCCCTTACCTTCACCATAATGGGCAGGTGCCCCAGTGACTGTTCCCCCTTACCTTCACCATGATGGGCAGGTGCCCCAGTGACTGTTCCTTACCTTCACCATAATGGGCAGGTGCCCAGTGACTGTTCCCCTTACCTTCACCATGATGGGCAGGTGCCCCAGTGACTGTTCCCCTCACCATAATGGGCAGGTGCCCTGACTGTTCCCTTACCTTCACCATGATGGGCAGGTGCCCCAGTGACTGTTCCCCTTTACCTTCACCATGATGGGCAGGTGCCCCAGTGACTGTTCCCTTACCTTCACCATGATGGGCAGGTGCCCCAGTGACTGCTCCTTCCCTTACCTTCACCATGATGGGCAGGTGCCCCAGTGACTGTTCCCTTACCTTCACCATAGGCAATGGGCATAATGTGGTGCCCCAGTGACTGTTCCCTTACCTTCACCATGATGGGCAGGTGCCCCAGTGACTGTTCTCTTACCTTCACCATGATGGGCAGGTGCCCCAGTGACTGTTCCCATGATTACCTTCTTACCACCATGATGGGCAGGTGCCCAGTGATGGGCAGGTGCCCCAGTGACTGTTCCCTTACCTTCACCATGATGGGCAGGTAACCCCAGTGACTGTTCCCTTTACCTTCACCATGATGGGCAGGTGCAGTGTGCCCAAAGTGACTGTTCCCTTACCTTCACCATGATGGGCAGGTGCCCCAGTGACTGTTCCCTTACCTTCACCATGATGGGCAGGTGCCCCAGTGACTGTTCTCTTACCTTCACCATGATGGGCAGGTGCCCCAGTGACTGTTCCCTTACCTTCACCATGATGGGCAGGTGCCCCAGTGACTGTTCCCTTACCTTCACCATGATGGGCAGGTGCCCCAGTGACTGTTCCCTTACCTTCACCATGATGGGCAGGTGCCCCAGTGACTGTTCCCTTACCTTCACCATGATGGGCAGGTTCCCTTACCTTCACCATGATGGGCAGGTGCCCCAGTGACTGTTCCCTTACCTTCACCATGATGGGCAGGTGCCCCAGTGACTGTTCCCTTACCTTCACCATGATGGGCAGGTGCCCCAGTGACTGTTCCCTTACCTTCACCATGATGGGCAGGTGCCCCAGTGACTGTTCCCTTACCTTCACCATGATGGGCAGGTGCCCCAGTGACTGTTCCCTTACCTTCACCATGAGGTGGGCAGGTGCCCCAGTGACTGTTCCCTTTACCTTCACCATGATGGGCAGGTGCCCCAGTGACTGTTCCCTTACCTTCACCATGATGGGCAGGTGCCCCAGTGACTGTTCCTTACCTTCACCATGAAGGGCATGGGCAGGTGCCCCAGTGACTGTTCCCCTTACCTTCACCATGATGGGCAGGTGCCCCAGTGACTGTTCCCTTACCTTCACCATGATGGGCAGGTGCCCCAGTGACTGTTCCCTTACCTTCACCATGAATGGGCAGGTGCCCCAGTGACTGTTCCCCTTACCTTCACCATGATGGGCAGGTGCCCCAGTGACTGTTCTCTTACCTTCACCATGATGGGCAGGTGCCCCAGTGACTGTTCTCCTTACCTTTTCACCATGATGGGCAGGTGCCCCAGTGACTGTTCCCTTACCTTCATGGTGAAGGGCAGGTGCCCCAGTGACTGTTCTCTTACTTTTATTATGATGGGCAGGCGCCCCAGTGACTGTTCCCTTACCTTCATGGTGAAGGGCAGGTGCCCCAGTGACTGTTCTCCTACTTTTACCATGATGGGCAGGTGCCCCAGTGACTGTTCTCTTACCTTCACCAAGATGGGCAGGTGCCCCAGTGACTGTTCTCTTACCTTCACCAAGATGGGCAGGTGCCCCAGTGACTGTTCTCTTACCTTCACCATGATGGGCAGGTGCCCTAGTGACTGTTCCCTCTCTTCAATCAGATGACTCCCAACATAGCATCCAACGTGGATTTCCAGCAACCCCTTGTAGCTCATACCCCTCTGTCGACACTATAGACCAAGCAACATACACCTATAGACCATCCAGGCAATGGCTGCCATCGTTAAACATTTTTAGAGACACATTAGCTAGGTTTATTCCATCTGAGTAAACATATGCTCAGTATTGATCGTTACACTGCTATACTGAGTCTAACAAACCCTAGTAGGTCCCGTCAGCTAACCCTTTGGACTGACCATTCAGAACACAGCTTACCAAATCGCGAAAGTTAACATTCACACATACCGTTTGAACCTTTACCTAAAAAACTTGAACAATTCAGAATGCTATTTTAGGCATTACCGCTTCCGAGTGACACACATGGAGGACGCAATGAGTAAATGGTCACTGTAAATAGTGTTTTTGTCAATATTCATGGATGTCATCTTGCGGAAATATGAGCTAATAGTAACCATGTCATTAGAAATCCCTGAGCGTATATACTGCAGGTCAAATATCTGTATTTTATGCAGAATTTTGTTTGTTGATATATCAGTGTCAGCGACCAGGGAAGAGAAAATTTAGAAAAAGTTTGCAAGTGGTGCCGAACCCTAACAAGTAGTCATAGGTCGCTCAAAGGTTAGTTGACGCGACCTTCTACTAGGGTTTGTTAGACTCAGTATAGCAGTGTAACGAATAATACTAAGCCTAAGTTTACTTAGACTGGGTTTATTCATACAAAACATCGAAGGTGTTGCAGATACAGAGACATAAAAAATGTAACCATGATACATTGGTTATCAAATATTTTTGATTGTTTGCTGGTTAACCCCGCACTCGGCAATATTCAAGCTATATAGAGGTGGTCTGTAAGTATCTGAGTCTGGACCAGACAATCCAGTGATCAAGAGCATGAGCACCAATCTACGTAATAGCGGTGCTAGCGAGCCTGACCACCCGATCCTGTTAATAGCCTCTTACGACAAGCTTAGGTTACTGCAGACCAATTTTAACCTGGATTTTCATGGGTCGGCAATGTATCATATTTGAAACTTAAGTCAGGTGAGCTAAAAATGTAAAATGTCTACAGCAGTATTAGAAATTTTAACTATAAATTGTATAATCATATACTTATCCTATCTCATGTTATGCACTTCTCTCTCTCTTCTACGACCATGGCGTGGAAACGTGCTGTAGGCTAAGTTGAATCAAATCATCTTGGCCTCTGTCCTACCTGACCTCTGCCCTCACTCAGATTGCTGATCTGTCAATCATCTCTGTAAAGCGTGCTAAGCGCTCAGATGGTCACATGACATCCCACTAATGTCATTCTCGTCTTGGAGCTGCATGTAATCTGTGATGCGGGGAAGGTCGGTACCATAAAAACTCCAGCACAGACATTCCGTTCGACAAAGCGGTTATGGAAGGTAAATCAATTCCTTCAGGTTTAATTGTCGGCCTCGAGAGACGGGCGTAGAAATCGCTGTATTGGGCAAAGCTGGAGATGGCCTCTGTATGTTAGGGTTTGGGCTGAAGTCAGAAGGCCTAGCAACTATTGCCACTGAAGAAGGGATCTCTCCTCAGACAGGAAATGTTCAATCAGCCAAACTACCATGACAGTACTGAAGAAGTGCTGAATGTAGTAGGTTCGGGGCATGGAGATTGTCAGTCAATCTACAGGAACGTTCACATTGTACACAGATTGATGAAAATCGTACAGTCTGTGATTGCAAGAACGTATGGTTCACCAAATGAAGTGTTGGTCCGCCAGATGGAGTGAGAAAATTAGTAGATGTGATGCATGGGATCGTCAATCTACCGGAACATTCGTAAAGTTGATGGAATGGCGGAGGTAAAATGACCGGTGACCCCAGGAATGTTTGTAAGGGAGACGAAGGTAGTAAAATCTATGCCTGCGTACCGTCTGGACATAGCTGCAGTGAAAACTGAACTGAGGGCTTAATCTAGGAACTGAGTAACCCTAGCCAAAGTGAAAGCGTTCTCGGGTGATTCTGTCTGACACCCTCGGTAAACTGTTTCTCTCAGCTGGCTGACGAATCTCGACATAATCACTCTTACCGGGAATAGCACCGTTCATCATCACTGGAAATTAAAGGCTGGGATAGTTATCCGCTTTGTGGGACCAAGACTAGTCTGTCAGGGCACTTCACAGTCACTCTAATCATCAAAAGTCTCCGGTAATCAAACAGTAGTCCGCCATTGCAAATGCTACCCACAATGCAATAGTGACAAAATCCGAACAACAAGGTCTTCGGTTAACCAGGCGAGTCCCAACCCATAAAATCCGGGCTAAGGGACGCTAGCTACTTGATCAAACATCACTGCTGGTACCACACACAGAAACTTGACACATCTGTCCAGAAACTAGCTGATGATGTGAAAGCCCAGTGATACACCATAATGCTGCTACAAGTAGTCTGTAGTAACAGGACTCAGTGAAGTGTCGTAAAATATTCTTGAATATCAAGCTGGTCCAGGAATGCACAACTGGGTGGTTGTAGAGCTGATATCTACGTTGAAGGGTAGATTCGTTGAATCAAAGCATTCATCAAAGGTGAAGATCGGAAGGGAGATTACGGGGGAATCTGGAAAATCCGGGATCGTCAATCGCCGCCGTAATTTAAAGGCCTGTGCTACTGAATAACTACTACCTCTGTACAACCAGCAGAAACGATGCACTAACTGGAAGTGCCGCACTTGATGGAAGCATTGATACATAAGAGAGCGGCGCATTGGAGGAAAGCGGCGCTCTGGATACGAGCAGCACACTAGTAGATAACATGGGATTGAATGAAAGCGGCGCATTGGGACAAAACACTGCACTTGGCTGAAGTGGCGCATTGGTGTGTAGAGACTAGTGTTGGGAATTGGTTTAAAGCTCATAATTGATGATTGGTTCATTACAACCGATCAATCATCAAAAATAATTGGTTTGCGTCATTTATCAAATTTTCCTGGTTATGTTTGTTAAGGCACAAAAAAGAAAGAAAGAACATGTAGTTCTCTCGTGTTTTTTCGCAAATTGCACAAAATGCATTTGCAAATTTTACATCTTTAAAGGATGACTAGTGTTTTAGGAACATACATTTCCTGGAGTTGTTGATAAATTTAATCATGACTTGGAACGATCTTGAAGTTTTTGCAATGTAGAGACAAAATCAACCTAATGAAAAATATTGCTATTGCAAACAAGTGTTCCAAAATTGTTTGTGTTGAAGTTGGAAAAATTGTTGAAGGTAAACTCGCAGTAGAAAAAAATCACTGTAGGAAAAGTACTTTGTGAACTAGCAAACAAAGTCATGTTGACAGTAGGCGCATAGGGGTAATCAGATGATTCAGCGAATGCTGACAGTTCGGCAAACACTGTCGGATCAGCGAATACTGTTGGAGTGGCGATCTGGTATGGTTTGGCGACCAGGATCGGTTCTGAGATCTAGGTTGGTTCGACGATCTGGATCAGATAGGTGATCTGGTTCGGACAAGTTATCTGGTTCGGCAGGGTGATCCGGTTCGGCCGCGTGATCTAAAGCGATGGGTCAAACGTGACCGGTGCACTCGTCTAAAACGCTGTACCATACAGTAATGGTGTACTGGACTAAAAACAGTTTACTAGGTTGAATCCATGTTCCAATCGAAAAGGCACACTGGGCTGAAGAGTTGATCCAATCGAAAGTGGCGCACTGGGCTAATGAGTTGGACCGAACGAGAGTGGTGAGCTGAAGTGAAAAGGTGCACTGGCCTCTTCTTCCCTCTATGAGAGCGACGCACTGGCACAAAGTGCTGGACCGAACTGAAACGGTGAAACTGTGACGGTGAAGTATGAAGTTCACTACCCGAGTGGGGAAGTCATCCTGTCCCGATCCTGGACTTGAAGTCTGGGTCGGAATAACCAAGGTCATTCTCGCTGAGGTAGGAATCCGATGCTGCATCGAGAAATCTTTGTCCGGAGATGGTGATGAACGGCGAGCTGTTTGGTACGGACGATCTCGCTTCAAATGTTGAGATGAGGATGGACCCTCAAAAAGCCTCCGACGATCCCTGTCTACCACTCGCCTTGTGCCCATTCCACGATAACGGAGAATACTTCATCGTCCAAATTGGCACAATAAGAGCAATGGTGAGGCCCGTCACACCATCCGATACAATCAACGCACAGTGTATGAGGGTCAGCGGCAGGAAAAGTTACTTCTGTAATTGTCACAGTGTTATCTCTTCCGAGGAAGATCGATTACTTTACCCATGATGAAAAGTAGAGTGAGTGAGTGAGTGAGTTTGGTTTCACGCCGCTGTTAGCAATATTCCAGCAATATCACGGCAGTGATCAACGGCGGGGGACACCAGAAATGAGCTTCACACATTGTACCCATGTGGGGAATCGAACCCAGGTCTTCGGTGTGACGAGCGAACGCTTTAACCATCAGGCTACCCCACCGCCCCTGAAAGAGTATAATACACGTCCACACCAGTGGGCGACAAGAAAGAGAATGACAGTAGTGGGATGTCATGTGACCATCTGAGCGTTTAGCACGCTTTACAGAGATGATTGACAGATCCAGCAATCAGAGTGAGGGGAGAGGTCAGGCGGGACAGAGGCCAAGATGATTTGATTCAACTTAGCCTACAGCACGTTTCCATGCCATGGTCGAAGAAGAGAGAGAAATGCATACCGTGAGATAGGATAAATTTTTTAAAAAATGTAAATTTTGCAGTGAAAAAGCAAAATATATTCTTTACCAACAAAAAAGGGATTTCATATGTGTGCATCATCTTGGGATAAACTTATAATACACTATCAACATCATCAAATATTTACTGAGCATGGTCCCATTCCACAATCTGACTAATGATACATGAGTGAGTGAGTGAGTGAGTGAGTGAGGTTAGTTTTATGCCGCACTCAGCAATATTCCAGCTATATGGAGGCGGTCTGTAAATAATCGAGTCTGGACCAGACAATCCAGTGGTCAACAACATGAGCATCGATCTGCACAATTGGGAACCGATGACATGTGTCAACCAAGTTAGCGAGCCTGACCACCCGATCCCGTTAGTTGCCCCTTACGACAAGCATGGGTTACTGAAGATCAATATTCTAACCCGGACCTTCACGGGTATGTTATAATACAACAGTCATACCTCTATGGTAAAGAATAAGATGTTATACAGTAAATATGACCTCTTCATGGGACTGATATCATAACCAATGACTGATGTGTTTAATACAGAGGCAATAAAATATAACCAACTGACAAGTATTGGACAAGTATTGGACAAGATCAAGTACTGGGCAAGTGTTGGAAGAGCACTGGACACGTACTGGGCAAGTGTTGGACAAGTATAAATAAGTACTGAACAAGTATTGGGCAAGCACTGGACAAATACCTGACAAGTACTGGGCAAGTACTGGACAACTATTGGGCAAGTACTGGACAAGTACAAATAAATACTGGATAAATACTGGTCAAGCATTAGACAAGTATTGAACAAGTATTGGACAAGTACTGGACAAGTACTAGACATTTTCTGGATAAGTACTGGACATCTAATGGACAAGAACACAGTCTTGATTCCATGTTGGACTTACCTCGGTGGGGAACACCTGGAAGGTGCTGGCATGCTTGTTGTTCTCGGACACACATGGTGAGCCCAGCGACGGATTCTGAACAAACAAACAATGGACAGATGTGTAAACAATACATTTAGAAATAGTTTAACGTTGAATGTGTACAGATGTGTATGATCACTGACTAAAAACTTAGATTCAGAATTCAGACACATTACCATGATCATGAGCAAAATCTTACTTCTTGTAAATCAGCTTGGAATTTGCTGAGTGAGTGAGTGAGTTTAGTTTTATGCCACACTCAGCATTATTCCAGCTATATGGCGGCGGTCTGTAAATAATCGAGTCTGGACCAGACAATCCAGGGATGAACAGCATGAACATCAATCTACGCAATTGGGATACGATGACATGTGTCAACCATGTCAGAGAGCATGACCACCCGATCCCTGGAATTTGCTGGAAATGGTATGTATTGGACAGAGCTCTGTATTAATGAGGTGACATTGGACAGATTCATACAGTATAATGCTGGCAACAGAATTAACATACAATAAATTCTAACACTATTGTCAGGTATTGTATAACACCACATTCAGCAATATTCCAACTAAGAAATAAGTCAGTAAATAAAGAAGTCTGAACCAGACAATCCAGTGATTGTTGGGCATTGATTAATGCAACTGGAATATGACGATGTGATCAACCAAGTCAGCGAGTCTGACTGAACTGAACTTAATTACTTTCAGACAGACCACTAGTTGCCTCTTAAGTCAAGCTTGTATGAAACCTTTCAGGGAAGCTATAATCTTACCTGTAATTCCTCCGCAAATTGAAAAGAAATATACTCACTGAAAGGGACAATGTTACTTGATCATTGTTGGGAAGTTGAAACCGTAACGGGGCAATATCCTGAAATATAAACATTCCAACCGAAATGAGTCTAATAAAAAACAACCCACAAATGAGGGAAAGACTTCTGCCTGTAACACCCATCTTTGGTTTTTTATCATTCTATGCCTAAGAATAGATGGTATCATATTTCATATTGTTCAACATTTTCTGTAGATATTTTCATTAGTTTCTTTATTGTTGAGATTACTTTCCCTTTAATTTTTATTTCACTACATCACCAATTTACATTTTGACATTTCAAGAGGGGATTCCAGGCAGAACTCTTACTTAAAGAGCTCTTTGAGCTCAGCTAAAAACATTAATTTCAATGTCAAATCTTCAAAACGAAAAGCTACACCAAATTCAGCAATCTTTCGGAAAGAGTTCCTTCTGTTCCCCCAACTCTAAACCTAACCCTAACTTAAATTTTGGACTTTCAGTCATTTTGTGAGTTCTCTAGTAATTCTTGTGTTAGGTTTTGTTAATAATGTTACTATATTTATTAATATTACTTGGGATGGGGGAACGGGAAGAACTCTGGATAGATTTCCACCTGTAACCCCCGTATTTCTTTTAATCATTATATGCCTAAGACTATACGCCTATGTTTTTTTTATAAACAGCATATACCTAACCCGAAACCCTTACCCTAAAACCTAGCCCCAAACCTAACCTTAAACCCTCGAAATAATCCTCATAAATAGAATACATTTCGAGCGGGGGTTACGGGCGGAACTCTTACCAGAACTCTTACCAATCTTTCTTGTGCTGTTCTGTTTTACATCAATGATATACTGAACAAACAAATAGGATTCATTAATAAATATGGGGACATTTTAGGGTGGTAAAAAATGGACACACAATTTAATTAAAATATCCACCAACATATTTGTAACTGGCGTGGTCTGGCATATACCACAAAGGCAAACATTTCTTGTAGATGTCATTTAATGGCAATAATAACTGAAGAAGGCCCAAGTGTATGGCCCTGTGCCCTTTGCATCCCAAACGTCAGGAAATATGTTTGCTACACCTCTATAAGCTATTGTGAGCGATGACCAGTGACCAGACAGACTGAAGTGAATAGGGAAGCTGACCAACAAAACACCCTGCTATTGAATATAAGGGGCCTGGGGCTGGGGCAAGACAATAGAGATAATAGACATGATGATAGACTGACTGACTGCCTGACTGAGGAATCAAAGTGGAACTAAACCCAATCATGCCTTACATATGTATTTTATAATGAAGTTGAAAAATAATGTTTGGGCAGACTGACTGACTGACTGAGTTTGGTTTTACGCCGCTTTTAGCAATATTCCAGCAACATCACGGCGGGGGACACCAGAAATGGGCTTCACACATTGTACCCATGTGGGGATTCGAACCCAGGTCTTCGGCATGACGAGCCAATGCTTTAACATTAGGCTACCCCACCGCCCCGACATGATAGACAACACAAGCACAAAGGTGACTACGCTATTGTGAGAGTGAAGCAGGTTAGATTGAGTGGTTAAGCTAGGGCAATACTTAGTGATGAAAATACAAATTAAAATACACTTGCTAGTATATACATACTTACATACTCCTACATATTCATGATTTTTAAATTTTATGTTTTGTATAGATTCTTTGAAAAACTCATGATTTGTGGTCTTCGGTTTTTCAAGGCACTGTATATACCGGTATACTAACAGGCTGTTAGCATGGTTAGAACATGACCACTTGTTTGCAAATGACAACTTTTGATATTTTTTTAGTCATTAGTCATGTGGATATAGTACTATCACATATACAAACAGATATTTTACTGATATTCTGCTATTTCAAGGACAGTTGACATTGGCCTGTACTCATGCATTCCTCTTTTCACATTGACATGTACACAAGCAGTCCTGAAGTTATTGTGTAGAGATATGTAACACGCCTTTCAAATGAGGAATCGGACTGTGACAGAGCTACAGATAACGTTTTGGGTCATTGAGTTATGTACTCACCTGTGTTCATCTCAATTGTGTATCCTAATTTTCCTTCGAGTAACCAAATATATTGTACCCACCTCAATCCAACTCAACTGGGTATTTTACCATTTTCCATAAATTTGTATAAAATAATAAAGTTTAATGTTGGTTTATGTGTTTGCTATTCATATTTGATCTGTAATATGAAAAACAATAAGAAAGACTGCAAGTAGCCAAGTTCACGAGTTATCTGTATATCTGCTGTGACTCCCTTGACACATGCAGACTCCTAAGTGACAGTGAATGGGGAACAGACTGGGATTTATCCCGAAATGGACAAGGACTGTTCTTGAGGAACACACTAGGAGAGTTATCGAGGAACGTACCAGGACCGTTCATGAGGAACAGACAAGAAAAGTTATTGGGGAAAGGACTAGAACAGATATCGGGGAACATACCTTGACTGTTCTTGAGGAAAAAAATAGGAGAGCTATCGGGAAACGTACCAGGACCGTTCATGAGGAACAGACTAGGAAAGTTATTTGGGAAAGGACCAGAACCGTTATTGGGGACCAGACTAGGTGACGACTGAGTAGCCAGGAAGTGAGTATGAGAGAGTATGCTTTTTCTCCACTTTTAGCAATATTTCAGCAATACAATGGTGGGGGACATCATCAGGGAGCTACCAGGACAGTTCTTACGGAATGGACAATGGCAGTTATCAGAGGTTACCATTACACTAAGTTACAGTTATTGGGGTACGGACAAAGTTATTTGTATGACAGAATCTGAGACAACTGGGTTCACTGACCTTGACGCTGCTAATTCATTACTTACATCAACTGCTGCTTGAAGACCTTCATGAATCAGATAGTTGAACGACTCTATGTGAGGTTTAAGCAGATCATGAAGGAGCTGTAAAGTAAAGATGCAATACACATGAGGAATCAAAGTGGAACTAAACCCAATAATGCCTTACATATGTATTTTATAATGAAGTTGAAAAATAATGTTTGGGCAGACTGACTGACTGACTGAGTTTGGTTTTTACGCCGCTTTTAGCAATATTCCAGCAACATCACGGCGTGGGACACCAGATATGGGCTTCACACATTGTACCCATGTGGGGATTCGAACCCGGGTCTTCGGCGTAACGAGCCAACGCTTTAACCACTAGGCTACCCCACCGCCCCTTGTTTGGGCAGAAACAGCCACATTACAAATCTACTTACTGTTTTTCCTTAGCTCAGATTTCTAACCTACTTAGAATATTGTACTCAAATCATGCCTCAATATTTTCACTCAATATCTTTACTATCTACATAAAAAAGTTGACATGTAATATTTTCAGTGGAGAATATGGAGATAAATAGTGTGTTCAATATACAGCTAGAATCAATTTAACGTTCATTTGGCAGTTGCTTAATTGGTTCCATATTCAATAAAGCATGGTTATATGTACAGTTTAACTAGATTTATGTCGAAAACATGGTATGTTTATCTTGTAATTATATGCCAGTCACAAATAGTATAGTTTGGATAAATATTGCATGTACTGCACTTTACTGGGCACACTTTTTCATATTTAAATTAGCCCCGTGTGGAGGATCGAACCAAGTTTCCCGGCCTGCACATGTTGAAGCTGAGCTTGACAAATGAGTTAATCTAACACCCCACCACAGGACTATGGGACCCATCACAAATTCGTCATTGGCACTGAATAGGTTGTGCAGCAGCCATTTTCTCTGCAAAACTCAAAATATGATAAGTGCTTTAGATTTCTTCATCAAAAGAGGTTGCTAAGGGACCGTACATAATTTATGGCTATGGAGAGTGATGATGATCTCAAGGCATGGTCACCAATTTTTTCTTGGGAGCTGGGGGGGGGGGGGGTGGGTGGGGTGTCAGCAATTTTGTACACACGTACTATGGGGGGGAGCAACTTTGTACATAAATATATGTTTAAACTTATATTTAGAAATTATGGGAAGGGGAGGGGGGTCACTGATTTTGTACATGACATGCAGGGGTCACTTATTTTGTACATAAATTTTTTGGGGGCATTCACACTGTACATGCTTCTCCATGAAAATCATCATCAACCCCCCTAGACATATATTATGAACGGTCCCTAACCCCAGAGAGCATATTATAAATAATCAGAGCTACAGATAATCGCAAAAAGGTGCCAAGCCCTAATGAACGACACACAGGCTTAATCGGAAAGGTGATCAAAGATAGAATAGAAACGGTTGTTTAAATTCCTAACCCAAGCATTATTATTAACGCTGAAATACAGTCTATGACGTCTTAGTTTGGGTCGTGCTGCCTAAACCTCGCCATAAAATATAGAAATACGATGTTAATTGTTATTAAAATTTAGAATTAAAATTAGAATAATAATTCAGCATTATTAACGCTACGTTTCCTAAATCTCCATTAAGGACGTGTCAGCAGAATGCAGTAGAAATTTATAATGATATTTGAAGTTTGTCCCATCAATTCGCCAGTCGCCACGCCATCGTCGTGCGCGAAAACTAAGGGTCTAAACATGAATATACATACATGGCAAATGCCGACTGAGACACGTTATTATAAGCATTTCATAAATAGTTCACCTTGTGTTGTTGAGCGTTTGGTTTCCCAAAATCTGGCACAGTCAGATGTTTGAAGTTTAACTCCTCCACGAATTGTTCTGTATCACTTGCCATTTTGCCATGTGCTTATACAGTTTGACAACTTCCGCTACAGAACTCCGCACCGAGTGGACAGGAATCTAATTATACCGCACGGAGACAGTACCGCTATGCTACGAGTTTTCAATGTTCAGCGATCCTCACAGCGATGGTGAGCGGTGTATAGAGTTTTGTATGCAACCGAAGGTGTATTGTTTGTCTGTCTCACAGTGCCTGGTAATGGTGATCCGATTAATTGAAATAATCGAAGATTGGTCGCAGTGACTAAACGACCAAGCAATCGATCATGTTTTCTCATAATCGAACACAAACAATTAAGGAACACTTGTTTCCATCAACAATATTATTCACAAGGATGGTTTTGTCTGTTACATTTCATAAGCACTACAAGCGTTCCAAGTCATGATTGAATTTATCTTAAAGACACCAAGAAATTTATGTTCCTAACATACTAGTCATGTGAAATTTGGCAAAAAACCGCCTTATTTTTTGTGCATTAACAAATTTCATAAATGACGCTAACCAATTATTTTCGATGGTTGATCGGTGGTAATGAACCAATCATCAATTATGAGATTTTAACCAATTCCCAACACTAGAGCCTGGCCTGACATTACGACTCGGGTACTACAGGTACAGGGCTCCAGATAAGGGCCGTATCGGCGTATGTACGGATAAAAAATATGCACAATACGAACGGACATATTTTGGAAAAAGTAGCAGATACGCACCACAGCAATGAATGAATGAATGAATGAATCTCTTTATTTCCTCCAGATTATATTCCGAAGATCATTATAAACATGTACATGAAATATTTACAGCAACATAATCACAGCAATATATTCACAACACATTCATATAGTCATATATATGTACAAAGAAAGGATGAAAGGTCTAGAATGTACAGTTTAGTGAAGGAAGCAAGGAATATAGGTATTTACAGAAGAGGACAATCATACATCTCCATGACATTTCATCAATATCGTTAGTAACTAGTAGTTCACCCCCAGAAAATAGTGATAACATTTCATCTTCAGATAATAATTCTATTTGTACATAAACATCCACATGAAAGAGATCTATAAGTTTTGAAAAGAAATTATTTCTGTTGTACATATAGTGTTCACAGTGTAAAATTATATGGCAGTCATAATCATTACAATATCTTTTTGCAGAGTTCACAATGTTTTGAGAATTTTCCCTTGAGCTGATTTGTACACAAAACTGTAATATATCTTTAAACTGTGGGTAAAAATACATCAAACAATACAATCTATGTACACCAAAGAAATTGTGGGTCAAGCGATATCTATTCATATCGTGCCTTACACACACGTGAGAAATCCATCGTTCAGTTTCAGATTTATTTATGCAATTAACAGTTATTCTTCGCCATGACGATTTACATGGAAACCTTCCAAAATCGAGATAGTCACTAAGATAATTGAAGAGACTGTATTTTAAACTGGTTTGAATAAGTGTGTCACATATACTGTGTAAGACAGCTGTTCTGTTTTGAAAGGTGGCTAAATGTATTGACCTGTTTACACAAGAGTAGCAATGCTGTGGTGCATACATGAAACGAAACACAAGATTACTGGTACTCCATTAAATTCCATTCAGTACTCTAAATGTAAGTTTTCCAGTACTCTTATATTGAAAAAACAAGGAGTACGTACCCCTGATGTTGAAAAATTATCTGGAGCCCTGAGGTATGTACGTTTTTGAGTAAACAGGAAAAAACGGTGCAGGGAATATTAAGTAATGCCTATTTGTAAGCATCTTACCAGTAAGAAACGTGTACTTCAGCAAGCAGCACAAAGGAGGGTCTAAACCTCTGGCGTTCTCTCTATAATTTTAATAGCTTTCAATATCTTTTCTGATAGACATGTGGATTGCAGTTCCCTATACTAATGGCCAAAATGACATACGTAATTCCTATTTTACTTTGTGTTCCTTTCCTTTCTTGGGTTGGTGGGGTGGCTGCACGCCGAAGACACGGGTTCGACTTTCCCCATGGGAACAATGTGTGAAGCCCATTTTCTGGTGTCCCCCGACGTGATATTGCTTGAATATTGCTACAAGCGGCATAGAACTAAACTCGCCCGCTCCTTTCCTTTCCTTTGCATGTGTTGTTGATGAGTGTAACCGGCGGGGCATATATCGCATTTACATATATTGCACCTACATGTGTTCGTATGTGTGTATGGCCACTTGTTCTAGTCCGCACTAGTCGGTTTGTTAGAACTGGTCAAATAAGATACCATGCTGCTGTTCAACACAGTACACTGACTTCACGCCGACCTGTTCTGCAAACCGAAACATGAGTCGCATTAACCTATTCAGACAATTCAGTTTCTTGTTCCATAAGAAAATGGTATTTACAAGTTAATTTTAATTTAAACCTTTAATAACATCGTATTTCTATATTTTATGGCGAGGTTTAGGCAGCATGACCCTAACTAAGACGTCATAGACTGTCCCTGTTTGATGAGGTCGTACAATGATTCACAATTCATCAGGCTCACTGGTTACACCTGTTATGTGTATTTTGCGCTTATTCAGTGTAATTTTGTAACGCACAATGTGATTGATATAATATCAAGTCCGTACCAGACCGCCAAACTTTTCTAGCGGCAGAGCCTCGTTTTGAGATTCCCACGATTTCCAGATTTCCGTCTGTCAGAGCACGCTGCATGACGTGTTTGTAAGGATTAGAAGGAACGTAGTGTTGCAATATACAAGTGCTTAGATGTATCAGATAATACTAATTAATATTTATGTATCCAGTTGAATGAATTGGTCTCAAAATTCTGGACTGGTTATTGTACTATGTTGCGCAATAGGACGAAACCCAATCAGCAGGAAACAAGACTTGTGTAATCAATGTTTTGACTTGTTGTATGTCCTTTATGCCGAACAACAGGCAGGGAAACAACAAATACCACCTTTCAACGTCATTTGGTATGACGCAGTCAGGGATCGAACCACCAACCTTCCACTCCCGGGGCAAACGCGGTACCCACTCCACTATAAAAACACCATGCAAGGAGGATATACACAACGTATGGTTTGTTTGTTTGTTGTTTAACGCCTCACTCAGCAATATTCCAGCTATATGGTGGCGGTCTGTAAATAATAGAGTCTGGTCCAGACAATCCAGTGATCAGCAGAATGAGCATCGGTCTACGCAGTTGGGATACGATGGCATGTGTCAACCAAGTCAGTGAACCTGACCACTAGATCCCGTTAGTCACCTCTTATGGCAAGCACAGTTACTGAAGACCAATTCTAACCCGGATCTTCACGATGTTACATGTTGTATACCTGCCTCTTTGGTCGGAAAAGGCGTGGCTTAGGAAGCGTCACAGCGTTGGGTTTCCGATTATAATTCCACCCAATCGGAGGCATTCGACTATAATTCCACCCAATCTTAGGCATTCGACCACGTGACGTCACGAAATGACGTGATGCCGTTGTGGTCGGTCCGTTGTCCCTTTTGTAAAATTTTCCTGTTATGTTTGTTAATGCACAAAAAATAGGAACAATACATGGTGTTCTTTGCACTGCAAATTTCCCATCTTTGAGGGATGACTAGTATGTTAGAAACATATACTTCCAGGAAAATTCAATCATGACTTGGAACGAGCTTGTAGTGCTTATGAATTGTAAATTTAATGACACAGACAAAAACAACCTTGTGAAAAATATTGTTGATCCAAACAAGTGTTCAAAAATGGTTTATGAGAAAACAGGATCACTTGCTTGGTCGTTTAGTCGCAGCGACCAATCGTCGATTATTTCAATTAATCGCACCACCACTACAATGCCATCCTCGATAATCTCCAGGGTATACGTTACGATCACTCTCCACTATACCCTGGATGCATCCACGGCTTGGCCCGATAATTATATTACCTCCCTTTGCTGGCTCCACATTCTCACAGTAGCCAATCAGCTAAGCCGCCTTTTTATCCGAGCTTGCCAGTGTCAACAAAGATAGCGGTCGCAGTCGGGAAGGTTTGTTCGCAGTGCCACTCATATTTTTGGGGAAATCATACATACAAATTGACACATCTGAAACTTTAAAAAGATATATGAAAGAACTCCTTCTACCTCTTTTAGAGTACCTCTGCATCAATTGTGTAGCCAAGTTTAAACGGTTAGATAATTTACGAAGCGAAAGTGAGTTGTGATTGGTTCCCAGCGTAGACACCTGATTGGATAAAATGCCAGCAAAGGGAGGTAATAAAATAATCGGGCCAAGCCGTGGATGCATCCAGGGTATAGTGGAGAGTGATCGTATACCCTGGAGATTATCGAGGATGCTACAATGCATGCAGTCTGTCCTGTGTACTGCAGCATAAACAAAAACATACCCGTGGGTTCAATGAGAATATTTGGTATTTTTTATTGACAAATAAAATAATGGAGACAATGTGTTTATGTAAAATAACAGATCAAATAAAATGTCCATATATGCATTGAAAAAATAGACAATGGCAGTGGTTTTTTACTTCCGGTTCAAAGGTCAACTTAGACTGAAAGCGTCGCGAAAGTTGACAAATAAGTTTCATGCAAGTGTGGCACACAGATCTGAGATGTCTGTGCACACAGCTTAACATATTGCTGAACAAAAGCAAATAAAACAAAATGAAACATCCATTCATCCATTCTAGTTCCATGCAGTTCAGATAGCCGTACATTGCAGGGGTGGAAATAACCCATTGCCCGACGTCCGAGTCCAGTGTTTTTTCTGTCGGGCAAGCAAATTTGTATATCACACTGTACCGGTGTCCAGTTGACTTTCCAATGTTAATTATGTTGTATATTTAAAAAATCAACAAGAAAACGGCCGGTCTAGTGGAAAAATTATCAGGGCAAGTGATTTTACATGTGTCACTGTACCGGAGTACACCAGCAATTTTAAAGTTATTTCCACCCCTGCATTGTTATCACAAACCTACTGAAGGCATGTTTAAGGCCAGCAATATGCTTTATCTTTCACTGGATTGTCTGGTCCAGACTATTATTTACAGACCACCGCCATATTGCTGGAATGTTGCTGAATGCGGCGTGAAACAACAAACCAACCAACCA